AATAAAAAGGAAAGGGGGGGGGGGGGGGGGGTTGCATTTCTGTGTAGAATACAGGCCTTGTATTCTGGAAACGATCCTAGGTTCTTATCATCTAACATTGATTCTAAGACATCCTGGCCCTAAAATCGTTTTGAGAATACGTGGAGAGGTGAATTTTATAAAATGTCCATACAAGTGATATAGGGAGTGTTTTATACAAAAAAATTTAGATAGAATGATAATAAAAAAGCGTACGAAATTACCCACCATTGTTTGTTATATTGTTTCAAAAGTAATTACTTTAAACGCATTAAAAATCCTGTTTCCTGTCGAGAATAAATTGATTCTTTGAGAACTAAGTGAAATGAACAATAGTCCGTATGCACCAACATAAATATCAAATTGAGAAGAATAAAAGTCTTTAAAACGTTTCTATTTTATTCTATTTTTGTGTGCATCAGCTTATACTTAACTATCATGTATTTTATCCGTGCCGTAATTAAAATCTTCATTCACACTCAAACCATTTGAAAAGTGCTTCAGGACGTCAAGGTATTAGAGTTCGTTTTATCTTAACATTGTGAAGCCGTCTATTGTTTGCAGTGTGGATTTGTATTAATCCGGGGCCCTAACGTATACCTATTGTAAACATTATCAGCAAGAGTAAAAAGCTGATTCAATTCGTTCTCACCGAAATACAAAATGATTGTGAAGATGAATTTGAAATGAAATCGATGTTTCATTTTTGCAAAATAGATCCGCCGTGTGGTAAATCTGTTTTTGATTCATGATTCGACAAAGAAGAGTTTGAAGAGTCCCTGGCGATCTCTGACAGTGACATATTATCTATTAATAGATATTACACGTTTAATGTATCCAAGTTCATAATGGCCCAATTTGAAACCCTTCAGAGCGACATACGAAATTCCTTTAGAGTTACAACGAGAGCTAATGGTAAACTTAGTCGAAAAGGATCTACACAAAGTTCCAGTAGAAAGTCAAAGAACGAGTAAAGCAACAGAAACTGAAAATATCAAATTTCATTAGTGCTAAACCCGGTGTCAGAAGACCATCTCATGCAATCCAGACCTTAATTCTTCTAAGACTCGATTCTACTTCAGACCAGAACTTTTCATAGGTCACATTTAGACGCTTGCCATCAGAGCTGACTACACCTACTGGATTACAAGGCGCACATGCATTTCCAAACCACCATCCACCACCGTACTGTACCGCACAACTCATTCCGTTGTCGCTGCCGTGATCGTAAGTAGCGAACGTTGATCCGACGAGATCCGTCATGCAGTCAGTGAGCTTTCCGGAATAATATCCGACGGATTCAATCTTGTAATCATCCGTTTCGTCTCCTATCAAGAAATTTGAATGGGATCCTGTCAACTGTGCTCCGCCTGCTATTGTTTCAAAGGTAAGTTTTGCTGGTACGCCACGAGCTGCTCGACCATTGACTATACTACTAAGGTGATCTAATCCTAGCCAATGATCGCCAGTCAGAGCCCCGAATCCTTGTCGATAGTCGCTCCACGATTTGTTCAGCCTAGTTTTTTCCGACACGTGATATAAAATATATGATCGTCCACCATAATTCATCTGACAATGAACTCTGAACGGTTCTACTGTTGGACTCGGTTGAATCTGTAGTCGAAGATCTTGTTTAGGATAGACACCAAACCCTTCTTTACAATCTACAAATAAACAAATAAATAAATACATAGATAAACGATGAAACCAATACAACAGTTTTAGGCAATACTGAAATCGAATGTCACCCGCCAAAGATGCGAGAACTGCAGCCAGAATTTAGTATTATGGTCAAGGGTCACACGTGATCACCACAGAACAAAATACCAAGAGAGCTGGAGAAAGGTACTGAATTCTGGTCAACTTTGAATACTTTCTAGAAACAGAAGTACAACACCGTGTCGGGCACATTTTAGCAATTAGGTATTCTAATTCAGCAAAACCCCTCTTTTATCTCTAGACTATATCTGTCTCTCTAAAGTACATTCTTCTTTCTTTATTGTTTTCGTTTAATATTTTATATTTATATTTATGTATGGAGTAGAATTAATCAATTAATACAAATTAAAAATTGAATATTGGAATAATTTATTAGAACAATAATTATCTTTGATATCAAGTAGTATTATAGAAGATAATGACTGGGCATTATTGATATATTGAAGCTTATGACATCATATTATATTAATATCGGCTCCATATATTGATTTAAATTAGAAGTACAAAATATAGGTTTCTTAGTTGGTTAAGGGTAGAGATCGCATTAGATATATATGATGTCTTCCAATAACGTCGATTCCCATTTTGACCTAAAGTATTCCGATTTCGCCATTTCCCATATCACCCTTCAGAATTCGCTCAAAATCTATTCCACTTTTGCCCTTTCTCCACTTAGACCCCTTTCCCACATCACCCCTTCCTCAATTTATTTCCCAAGTGAAAAACAAAGGGACATAATTGGAAGAGGTAAAATGAGATTTGGCCATACTGAAAGGGGCGACCTCTTTCCAACTTTATAGGACCATGATAGGTCTAGTTTACAATCGCACAATTTCCAGAGAATGTGCTAATTCATGGCTTTACTGTGTTTAAATTTCTAATTAGTTTTTAAATCTTGGAACAGAATCTGTTTACGTTATGCATTAAAGGATTGTGATTAATTAACGCTTTCATTAAATCAGTCTATTCGAATTTTTTTTTTCGCCTCGTTTTGTACAAGTATATTATATTCACATAAATAAAGTATGAGCTTGAGAAGAATAATACGCTCTAGGCATTCAAACCTTTGTTTTGAGTTTCCGGTTTCGTGCGACTATCAAGATGATGTATTTAGTAACCACATTTAGGCCAAATTCTGAATCTAACGTAATGAAAGAAATTCGGGACCATGTGGTGGCGCCTATAAAATTGCAATCTGTTTGAAAAGCAGTCTTCTTAAATTATACCCAACCTCTTTCCGTTTATTTTTTTAGCTTTTATTTTTAATATAGCCAATTCAGTTGTAGCTTCTTGAACATTCGTCAGTTTGATGATACCCCCAGCCAATCAAATGTCTGCCCTCTCCAACGCTGGGAATCATTAGATACTAAATGTAGTATCTGTTTGAAATTATGTTGAAGATTTCTTCAGTTCATGTTCAGCAGGTTACAGCTCGTCTATGTTCACAATGGCTACTTCGTGCAAAATATCTTGACCATAGTGAAGAAACAACTGGTTGTGTGATAAAAATGCCAATCTGAATTTCATTTTAGTTAAGTTTTCTAGTTAAGCCCTCAATTTAGAATTGTCGCATTGACGTTAAAGGTGATTTTTTTCTTATTTATAGTGTTAAATTAATCAAACTATTTGATGAATTGGTGTTTCTAATGAATTATCATGTATTCTTAATCATATCATGTTCTTATTGCATATAATTAAGAGTTTTAACCAATCATAAATATCAATGTATGTACAGTCTGGATAAACAAAAAAGACTTTTTGACCTTTCTTGATCGGTCACTCATTGGAATTCTGCTGGTAATTCTCTTCTAATTTAGCTAATTATGAATTAATTATGGACATGTGAGACAAACTGGTATTTTTCGAAGTCATTAAAACACCTCCACTTTCTATTGATGTAAGTTTTAGCATTTTCATTTTCATATGTGAAAATAAGGGAACCGTCTTATACATAAACTTCAAACAAAATCAAATCATAAGATCCTCCCCGTGACAAACTTACCATATATAAGTCTGTGACATTTCTCAGCGATATAACCATCAACACATTGACAGTTATCTTCAGAGATCAGGTGACCACCATTAAAACATCCAGCCTGTAACAAAGAATAGTAACTTGTTAGGTCCCACACAGATTTTTTTAGAATGTTTAAAAGGAATACTTCCTCTTGGTATGACCAACAATTTGAAACTTTGTTTATCAGTGGACTTACCTGGTGTCAAAATTAAACGACAGAATCCCTCTATGATCCAATAAATCCATAAACTAAATAATTTTGAAACATGCTTAGAAGAGTTTTTCAATAATTATTAAGTTTAATAGATATATTGTGTTATATAGAGATTTTATTCTTTAGTCATGACACCTGGTAAGTCTAACTGAATATATACACTTGTTGACCACGTTTGAGACTTTCAGTTTTATGTCCATTCTAAGAGAATGTATTCCTGTAGGAATAATGAATCAAGCTACTCCAAAACAGACCTGACTGCAAGATAGTTCTTGAATTGCCTTGGTACCAAAAGCAGCTTTAAACTTGGATTGGATGCCTCAGAAAAGAACGATTCAAAACCAAAACGATAGATCTGGCTTGGTACAGGTAGATATTTAAGTTTAAACCCCTAAGGCGGCGTAGTGGCGACAAAACGCCCCCCCCCCCCTCCCAACACAAAACTGTGTGATAAGAAACCTTTCATCAATTTCAAAAATCATACCTTCAAAATACATCTATTTTAAAAACATTCCTCATAAAACAAGGAAAATTATACGAACCCTTTAAATATTCAAAATTCCTACCTTTTCAAAATAAAACTGTTCGGTTTTCTCTACAGCAGTAGAACAATCTATTAACAAAATCATGTTGAATAGTTGACACTGGTGATCATGGTAAACCAGAGAGTAACATTTAGGATCGTTCTGACAAGCCACAGAACATTGAATAATGGAGGCGAACTCTAGCCTTGAATATTGGTACGAATCGTTCACTTGTGTATTTTTGCAATTTCTTGGAATTTCGTAAAACGTGCCAGAAAAAGCAGCATAAACAAAACTTATCAATAAAATCACACATTGGCTCCAAACTTTCATTTTGTTATTTTCAGATGAATATCTCAAATTCAAGTATTAAATTCTGTATCGGGTTCTCTATGACCGGTCTTCTAGAACACCTGATGCCACTTTGCGAATCGGTTTGTGAATTTCATATCCCTTTTTGGAAAGCCTTCTTAGCTAAAATTGTTCATTTGATAAATCGATTCCTTTCAGCACTGTTTAATCAGTCCAGAGATCTGTTACTTGTCAAGTAAATTTCAAATACTTTCCTTTAACGTCTTCTGTTCATATGCCTATTGCTGAAGCCTTGTTTAGGGATATATATCCAAAACATACCTGAACGACGCTTTTCAACTAACAAATTACACAAAGACCTTTAACTACACCAATTTTGGTTATTCAAAATCAAAATGGTGGGCATTCAAATTTTGTACTTTTGCGATCGAATAACTTCGTCTTTATGCGCCAGTCTGTCGTTGTCTAGTTTTAGTGAGTTTATATCCTATATACCAATAAACAGTGATGTTAAAAGATGAAATAACCAATAATCATTTCGTATATCAACAGTCAACACCACAACAAGAACTTGGTATTCCTTATATACATCTTCTCAATGTCAGTCTATTACCAACGTTGTCTTATACCATTCCCAATTGAAGAGAACGCTAGCTATTACAACCAATAAGAGGTTTCAACAGACAGTTTTAAACAAAAAACAGTGTTATAATGTAGGTTTCGCCAAGGTAATATCACGTTCACCATAATTCATCTGATAGAGAAATGCTTCAAACAAACTCATGAACCAACTCTGGCGACTCAAAAGACCAACTGGTAGAAACACAATAAAATCTCGAAACCTGTGTCTCTATGATTCCATGTATCCCAATACTGATCAGAAGGTTCGACAAAGATATAGCACAGTGCTGAAGTCTGCGTAACAGCATGATTTAGGTTCAGTTTTAATATTTTTATATCGATCGACAATAGATGTATAACAGTGAAAATATTTTGTTTAGAAATTCTTGTAAGAATTCAATAACCGTCAAGTACCTTCGATAAGTTTCGATAAAACAACACCATTAACGAACATTCTTGTTATAATGTAATGAACTTTTTGCTTCACTTCAAGTAATAAATACCGAGGAAATTGCATTTAATCTGCCTGACTTTCCTGGTCGACCTTCGTCAATAAAAATATCAGAGTCCAGATGTAGAGTACAGTGAGGACTAGACGAATTCATCAGTAAAAATATCACAGGTCAATTAGGACAGGACGAATTCGTCAGTAATAATATCACAGGCCAATTAGGACAGGACGAATTCGTCAGTAATAATACCACAGGCCAATTAGGACTGGACGAATTCGTCAGTAATAATATCACAGACCAATTAGGACTGGACGAATTCGTCAATAATAATATCACAGGCCAATTAGGACTGGACGAATTCGTCAGTAATATTATCACAGGTCAGTTAGGACTGGACGAATTCGCCTGTAATAATATTACAAGTCAATTAGGACTGGACGAATTCATCAGTAATAATATCACAGGCCAATTAGGACTGGACGAATTCATCAGTAATAATATCACAGGTCAATTAGGACTGGACGAATTCATCAGTAATGATATCACAGGTCAATTAGGACTGGACGAATTCGTCAGTAATATCATCACAGGTCAATTAGGACTGGACGAATTCATCAATAATGATATCACAGGTCAATTAGGACTGGACGAATTCATCAGTAATATTATCACAGGTCAATTAGGACTGGACGAATTCATCAATAATGATATCACAGGTCAATTAGGACTGGACGAATTCATCAGTAATATTATCACAGGTCAATTAGGACTGGACGAATTCGTCAGTAATATTATCACAGGTCAATTAGGACTGGACGAATTCATCAATAATGATATCACAGGTCAATTAGGACTGGACGAATTCAACAGTAATAATAAGTTCAATTAAAAAGAGTCCAGAAAGAATCACCAGGAACTCCTATAGATAGTTTTAGCTCAAAATTAGGCTTGATATGCCTTTAATTCCCATCGACTGTTGAAAAAAGTCCAACAAAACAAGTAGGCTGTTACCACTGTCCTGTCAAATTTTCCCTCGATGTACACTGTAGGGCGTTGCCCTTTTTCATAAACTCAACCTATCCCAGAAACATAAGACGTAAAACTCAACTTAATTTTCTTTCAAATCTGGTAATAAAGAAGTAGACAAGAAAGTTCATAGGATATTGTAATATTGATAAAAAAACCATCGATTAGTAAGTAATTCTTTTCTTAAATCGGTTTCGGTACGAAACATTTTGTACATGCATTGATCCTGTTATTGATTGTTTATTTTGAAATTCTAACATGAAACTTGACACATGTGCATCGGTCATGCAGTCTACATGTTGCATAATGTTGTTTCTTTCAAACTTAATACACTATCTAACTATTCAATAAAAACTGCATGACATCGTGTAACGCCATATCTCGCTATATTCGTAGCGAATTTCGTAGATTTTAATGAATCTTCAAAGTGATTATACTTAAACTGTTCAATAGACACTGTATGGCGCAAATTTAAGCACGTAAAGAGGCAAGGTGTCTGACATCTTCATGGCGTAAAGCTATTACGAATTTCGTGTTATACCTTGACAAGTCACCTTTCTTGTATCTTGTATTTTATTGGATTACATGCCAGCGAATACAGCCAATCCGACAGAAAGTCTGTAAACAATAAGTCATAATGTTGTCAGTCTTTATGTCGAGGACTCTGATTGGCTGTATTGGCTAGCGTATAATCCAATCAAATCATTCCGTGATACAAGAAAGGTGCCTATTGGAGTTAATGTATTGGCGTGCATGAGACGCAGTTCGTAATAACTTGGCACTGTGAAGATGATTTTATCCGTGCCATAATTAAAATCTTAATTCACACTCAAAACCATTCGAAAAGTGCTTCAGGACGTCAAGGTATTAGAGTTCGTTATATCTTAACATTGTGAAGTTGTCTGTTGTTTGTAGTGTGGATTTGTATTAATCCGAGGCCCTAACCTATTGTAAACATTATCAGCAATTCACTTTTTACTCTCTGAAGGAACAAAATACCTGAGGTTGCCCGTATTTCTGACCAAGTTATGATATTTTTGCCCGAAAAACATGCGTTTGGAGCTGCGAGGGCGGCGGGAAACCCCTCTGCCCCCTTTGGCTCTGCCATTGGTCTCCGGTTTGTAAAAACAAAGGTTCAGTAGAAAGTCAATGAACGGGTAAAGCAACACGTCATACAGTTTTTTGACTTCCAGACAGGCCCATATCAAGACTTAAATTGTTCGGAGAAGCAATGGTAATAATAATAGTAAATAAAATATTTAATAATAAAGGTGAAAAACTCGGCCAAAGGCCTCTTTACAATTTTGCCCTGCGAAATAAGATAACATAAAACTTAGTACATATATATTGTTAAGTTACAATAATAGAATAGGTCGATTGTCAGAATTTTTTCGGAGGGGGTAGGGTGGCCATTCCTTTGCCCTGTAGCTACGTGCCTGGTGTCAGAAAACCATGTCACTCAATCCAGGCCTTAATTCTTGTAAGACTCGATTCTACTTCAGACCAGAACTTTTCATAGGTCACATTTAGACGCTCGCCATCAGAGCTGAATACACCTACTGGATTACAAGGCGCACATGCATTTCCAAACCACCATCCACCACCGTACTGTACCGCACAGCTCATTCCGTTGTCGCTGCCGTGATCGTAAGTAGCGAACGTTGATCCGACGAGATCCGTCATGCAGTCAGTGAGCTTTCCGGAATAATATCCGACGGATTCAATCTTGTAATCATCCGTTTCGTCTCCTATCAAGAAATTTGAATGGGATCCTGTCAACTGTGCTCCGCCTGCTATTGTTTCAAAGGTAAGTTTTGCTGGTACGCCACGAGCTGCTCGACCATTGACTATACTACTAAGGTGATCTAATCCTAGCCAATGATCGCCAGTCAGAGCCCCGAATCCTTGTCGATAGTCGCTCCACGATTGGTTCAGCTTCGTATGTTCCGACACGTGATATAAAAAATACGATCGTCCACCATAATTCATCTGACAATGAACTCTGAACGGTTCTACTGTTGGACTCGGTTGAATTTTCAGTCGAAGTTCGTGTTTAGGATAGGCACCAAACCCTTCTTTACAATCTGCAAATAAACAAATAAAAAAATGCAAGGTTGAGGAAAAAAGTTCAAAGATAAAACCAATACATTAGTCCTAACATAAGTCGAAATCAGAGTCGAACGTCACCATCAAAGATGTGAAAACAGACAACGAATTAATACAAAGTAATAAGATACATCAAAATTCAGGTTTGTGGTCTAGGGTCCGACATGAGCGCCACCAGGAAATAACTATCCCTTGGAGAACAGATTATAAATTTCTGTTTATATCTTGAAATAATTCTTTGTTTTTCATGAAGACAATAGACAGAGTAATCCTTGTTTTATCAGATTCATTTGGTTAAGACTTTTTTTCAAAGAAATCAACAATAACATTCAGTTTGAAATTAAGCTGTTATTTATAATATAGATTTAAATATAACACACACACACACTCTTAGTATAACGACACACTTAACAACAAAACACACAAACAACCTCGATTCCTCAACATTCCCTTGAGCTTAATTACACTAAATAGATATCATTGAGCTGCCTACGCCAATGACCTTAAAAGGAATCTAAAACCCATCCACGTATTTTCAGTCACTCGTAGCTCTATTTGTCTTTAAACTGGTTACGACAGACGTCAGACAGGAAGTTACAATAGGATCTGTGCAATTGATAGATATTTCCCCCCAAATAAGAAGAGGCGAATTGGAAAGGGACACAATTTCGAAGAGGCGAAATGAGATAGGTTCATTTGGGAATCTTTTCAACTTTGCAGGACCATACGGTCGTGTTTTACAATCGCACAAAAAAAGGAGAATGTGTAAGTGCATGGCTTTACTTTGTTTTATTTTAATTGACACTTATTTAATAAATCTTGAAATGAAATTCTATTTTCTTTATGCATGAGTCGATTTTTGTTACCTAACAGCCAATCAGTAGTCTATTCGACGTTTTTCATCTCTTTGTTTTGTACAAGAATATTCTATTCACGTGAATAAAGCATGAGATTGAAAGAAATAATAAGGTCTAGGCATTCAAACCTTTGTGTATATAGCCTATATCGTGCGACTTGAGTTGATTAAATTTGTAAGAAAAATGTAGGCCTCGTTCTGAATTCACGAACTTGTGATGATGCCAATGGATTTGAAATCTGTTTGAAATGCAGTCTGATTAGAATTAGACCAAACTTTCGTTCCGTTTTTATTAGCTTTTATTTTTAACATAGCCACTTCAGTTAGGGTTTCTTGAGCATTTGTCCGTTTGATGATACCGCTAGCCAATAATATTCCTGTCCTCTCCAATGCTGGGATTTTGCGACGTGAACTTCAGTTAAGTTCTGCAGGTCTCAGCTTGTCCATCTTCACTATGGCTACTTCGTTTGTAATATCTTGACCGTAGTGAAGATTCAACTAGTCATGGGATTGAAAAGCCAATCTGAATTTCATTTTAGTTCAGATTTCGAGAATAAAGCACCATTTTGAAATGAAAATCTGAACGTTACGTTTCATGTTTTTATTTCTGTATATGATAGGATGTACAATAGTTTATAGAGTTATTGATTGATCAGCCAATCAGATGACAGGAACACTAAGATCTTCTGAATTCATGTTTTTGAGAAAATGCCCTGATGCAGTTGTCTTATTCGCAATACTACTAATATAAATAAAAAAAAACCCTCAAACCTGTGAACAAAATTAATACCCTTCACATCATTAACTTACCATACATAAGTCTGTGACATTTCTCAGCGATATAACCATCAACACATTGACAGTTATCTTCAGAGATCTGGTGACCACCATTAAAACATCCAGCCTGTAACAAAGAATGAGTGACTCAACTACCATACGGATTGATGGAACCAAGTCTACAGGCCCCGACCCCAAGGACCCTCACCCAGATATCTTCCATTAACAGACATTAACTGGACGTTCAGAGGGGTCTCAGAATGCAGGAAAGAATATATTTAATCAAAATTACAGGGGAATTGGCTCATATGGACCCTCACTCATTTAGTTGTCCATTACATAGAATGGTAACTTGGTGGATCTTACTAAGTTAGGGCTGGGTGGAAAGATAGTTCTGGCTTCCAAAGATTTATCTGGATTGCCTTGAAGTAAAGTATCAAAAAACGGTTTAAACTTGGTTTGACTGCATCCTAGATCTAATCGTTATAACTTTATCAGAATAACTTATAAAGAAACTCTGCTCCAAAACTGATCTGCCTCTAAGATAGATCTGGCTTGTTTCAAAGAAAATTTGAGTTTAAACCCCGAAAGCCGTGTGGTAGCGATAAAACACCCCTTCCCATAATTCAATTTGCAATTTAAATATTCAAAATTCCTACCTTTTCAAAATAAAACTGTTCGGTTTTCTCTACAGCAGTAGAACAATCTATTAACAAAATCATGTTGAATAGTTGACACTGGTGATCATGGTAAACCAGAGAGTAACATTTAGGATCGTTCTGACAAGCCACAGAACATTGAATAATGGAGTCGAACTCTAGCCTTGAATATTGGTACGAATCGTTCACTTGTGTATTTTTGCAATTTCTTGGAATTTCGTAAAACGTGCCAGAAAAAGCAGCATAAACAAAACTTATCAATAAAATCACACATTGGCTCCAAACTTTCATTTTGTTATTTTCAGATGAATATCTCAAATTCAAGTATTAAATTCTGTATCGGGTTCTCTATGACCGATCTTCTAGAACACCTGATGCCACTTTACGATTTGGTTTGTGAATTCGATATTCTTTTTTGGAAAGTCCTCTTTATTATGATAAGGTTCCTTTCAGCTATATTTATTCAGTCCAGAGATCTGTTTCTCTTCAAATAAATTTCATTTGATAGTTTTGATGTTTTGGTTTTAACTAAACTGAAGGCAGGCTTACTTTCCTTAAAAGTTTTCTGTTCATATGCCTATGGCTGAATTTATATCCAAAACATACCTGAACAACACTTGGAAACTAACACCAACTACACCAAGACCTTAAACTACGCCCATTTTCACAGATCCCTGGTTGTTCAAAATCAAAATGGTGGGCATTCAAATTTTGTACTTCTGTCAGTTGACAAACTACCAAGCCTTCAAACAAACAGCAACGTCTTTATGCGCCAGTCTTTCGTTTGTAGTTTTCTTGTAGTCTTGAACGAGTACTTGACATCGATTCATTGATGAGTGAATATCCTATATACCAATAAACAGTGATGTTAAAAGGTGAAATAACCAATAATCATTTCGTATATCAACACCACAACAAGAACTTGGTATTCCTTATATACATCTTCTCAATGTCAGTCTATGACCAACGTTGTCTTATACTATTCCCAATTGAAGAGAACGCTAGCTATTACAACTAATAAGAGGCTTCAACAGACGGTGTTATAATGTAGGTTTCGACAATTGCTGACCGAACCTCATTATTAATAATATCATAACGCCATTATTATACTGTTCAATAGACATTGTGTGACGCCATTATTATACTGTTCAATAGACATTGTGTGACGCCATTATTATACTGTTCAATAGACATTGTATGACGCCATTATTATACTGTTCAATAGACACTGTGTGACGCTATTATTATACTGTTCAATAGACACTGTGTGACGCTATTATTATACTGTTCAATAGACACTGTGTGATGCTATTATTATACTGTTCAATAGACACTGTGTGGCGCCATTATTATACTGTTCAATAGACATTGTGTGACGCCATTATTATACTGTTCAATAGACATTGTGTGACACCATTATTATACTGTTCAATAGACATTGTATGACGCCATTATTATACTGTTCAATAGACATTGTGTGACGCCATTATTATACTGTTCAATAGACATTGTGTGACGCCATTATTATACTGTTCAATAGACACTGTGTGACGCCATTATTATACTGTTCAATAGACATTGTGTGACGCCATTATTATACTGTTCAATAGACATTGTGTGACGCCATTATTATACTGTTCAATAGACATTGTATGACACCATTATTATACTGTTCAATAGACACAGTGTGACGCCATTATTATACTGTTCAATAGACATTGTGTGGCGCCCTTGTTATTCTATTCAATAGACATTGTGTGACGCCAAGATTTAGATGATGTGTGATGCCACTATTATACTTAACACCATTTTGATACTGTTCTATTGACGCCTTGTGACGTATTACAAAATAGCTTACGGTTTAGTTTTCTTTTCCTGCTTAAGCTATTAAAGGTAGACAAGGCCATGTACATTGATAAAGTTTTGCAAACACAGGACCATTAACCTTTCTGATTCTCATTCCCGAACAGTCGAGAACTCGGTAAGTTGACTCTAATGACCAAACGTTTTGTTTTGTCAGTTCTTCCGAACTTAAATGGACAAAAAAAACTATCAAGTATGTTCAAGTTGATTATCGACCATGTTTAATTAAAAATTACGTTTTTTTAAAGTAATACCCTTAACAAACCGAAAACTATTAGATATTCTGAGCTGTAGCTTTACAATATTTAAAGTGTCATTATAACAGAACAATACCAGTGTCTGTTAAACATTCCTGATCGATATTCCCTTTTTCTTTTATGTTTTTTTTTAGTGTCTCGAAGTTGGAATGTGGACAATAAACAAAGACCCCGTGTGGCACAAGTCTATATATATTCTCTTGCTAGCAGTGGAGTGGAGATTCTAACCCCCAACCCCCTCACACACACATACACACACACCCTGACATTCTGTATTTTATACTCCAACTCTAGACGTCAGTCAGACTAGGGTGTAAAACTCCATTCATTTCATTTAAATCTGAGCCGAAAGGTACTGAATCGGATATGTCACAAGTTAATTCTCCTTTCTCCGCCATTTTGAATTCTGTCTACACCTTATACTATGGTACACGTGAACCCTATTCCATTTTGTTTTAATGAACTTCCGGTTGATCACAAAGCAGAATTCACAGATCGAGGGCCGTTCATCACAAGATTGATTCCTTTTAATTATTGTCATATAAATGGAATCTCACTTAATGATGAGAGCTCAGAAATCAAATGAAATGAATGGAGTTTTACGTCCTACTTTTCTGCTAAGGGCTCAGAGTAAAAATATAGATATTGTCCGGTGTCATATTGTGGTCTCCCTATACTGCAGTATGGAGTTCAGATTTTGGGTATTCTATGGAAAAAAGATAAAACAAGGTATGTAAAAAAAATAATTTGTTTAATAATTGAAGAGTTAAATATATAAAATATACATCGACATTTTAACATCAATCATCATTCTACAATTTTGATTTTATTTTCAATATCAACACTAACATATTTATCAGAGAAAATCTGTTCCTAGTTGATTCTGTACACTAAAAATTTACATCTCACGCACTCTTAAAGATATTATAAAGAGGTTTCGTAATTTATATGTGTATTATGACGTCACTAATTGGGAAGTCCTTATGTGATAAGGCATATTGATGACGTCATCAAACATTTAATTTTAATGGAATTGCAGGAACCACAGACGTCTGATTAATAATTAGAATGGTGCTAATTGATGCTATCAGTGTCCCCGATACACATAAAAAATTTAAAAAAAATCTTTACAATGCCTTTAATATTTCAAGCTACATCATGTTGGTGTGGTTGTAGTTGTGTTATGTTCAAGTTTTCCAGTTTTCCAGTTTTTCAGGGAATACAGGAACCACAGACGTAGGTTGGTAATCAGAATAAAGTATAATATAAGCTATCAGTCACCTAAATACAACTTGATAGGCTAGAAAACGGCTTCAGGGATAGTTTAACACTTTGGGACTCGTGTAAATAGAAAATTGGATCCAAATTTATGGCGTAAAGCACGAAATCCATAATGTACGATATACTTGTCAAATGTTTACGATAAAAATGTTTATGATAAATATGATAAAATATTTTTAAGTTTTAGATGAAAGAATTGGATTAGATATGATAAGATGCACTGATTGTTTCCATTGCCATTTATTGCTGCCAACGATATCATACTCCACCTAAGTTATTAAAATAAGTCGAAGGTATGCACCTCCCATCGTATCACGAATACTTGTTTGACACCTCGAGAAAGTGTGAAGATGCGGGCGTAGTTTGGACACGATGTGCACCTCCAGGAACTTTTCAAATACGACAAAGAACAGTGTTGCGGGGAAATGAAATGAATGATGAACTTTTCTTTTGAGATCTTAAGAGTTTTTTTAACAACCTTCAAATAAGGTTAAAGGGGTTGTAAAGAGAAATTCGAAACTGTTTACGTTTATCAGGGACACTGATAGCATCAATGTCCACAATTCTAAATTTCAGGCAAACGTCTATGGTTCCTGCAATTTACACTAAAACTAAGCGTTTTATGACGCCACTATCGCAAAGGCCTTTAGCGGAATTGCAGGGACCACAGATATCTGATTGAAAATCAGAATAATGCAAATCGATACTATTAGTGTCCCCGATACACATTAAGAGTTAAGAAATGAAAATGAAATGCTGAAGTTTTACGTCCCACTTTTCTGCACCATGTGGATTAATGAAGACGGTAAAAAAATAGAGAATCCCTTCACAATCCATTGAAAGAAATGTTTAAAAAAACTCTAGTACTAGAAAGTATTCGCCATATAGATCGTCATGAAATGTTCCCATTATAAAGTGGTCATGATCGCTAAACAAATGATACAAATTAATGTTCATAAAATGCCCTAAATTTCACCATGAAATGATAATACATTACCAAATGTTTCCAATGTAATGTATATGTGATTATGTGGAAGTCTTTGGAAAAATTTCAGGAAGGATAAAAAGGAATTGTAAAGAAATTTTATACTCTTGCATTGAGGACACCGATAGCATAGAAAAATGGATTGGCGCAATACAAATTGATGCTATCTGTGTCCCCAACACATACAAAAATACAGAAAAACCTCTTTACAATTCGATTAACAAGGCGTGTGATATTGCGAAATGATCATCATAATTCATGATATAGAAATTAATCTTAAATGAGTACAAAAATACATGCATGAAAATCTGTGGTTTTAGTGATTAAGTGATATAAAACCCATTTTGAACTTAAATTAATGAAAAATATTAACAAAAATTGGGACAAAATGTTTGCAAATGATCAAAAAAAATTCTTTAACTTTGGTTAAATTAAACTTTTAAAACAAAACAAGAGAATTCACCAGTCATTCGAATTGCGTCCCTCGTCGTCTGAACCAACACCCTGGTGATAACACACGTCACAAAATACCAATTTATTCCAATACAGACACGTCGGTGTCAATGTTCATTCCCAAAAGAGACATTTAAGTAGAAATACTGATAATGCCCTCTTGTAAACGACGTTTCAATAAATTACACTTCATGATAAAACCAAAAGGAGCTGAAATCTTCATGAAGAAAGCCATCTAGGACCCGTTTTAAAAAGATTGGCCTCATGTGAGGGGTTCATCTATTCAAACTTTCATCCTAAAAGTTTTGTTCTTTTGAAGCAGGGACAATCTGATTGAATTAATATTCTAAAATGAAGCATATTTTTTAATTAATTCATCATCACATTTGATTAATTCATCATCACATTTGATTAATTCATCATCACATTTGATTAATTCAGCATCACTTTTGATTAATTCAATATCACTTTTGATTAATTCAGCATCGCTTTTATTAATTCAGCACCGCTTTTATTAATTCAGCATCGCTTTTATTAATTCAGCATCGCTTTTAATTGGTTCAGCATGGCTTCTGATTCATTTTGATTCTGCCTTGAACACCTGTCGTAACACTATATCTCAGTACACGTATTGTCTTCATAGTTTTTATTAATATCTCGGAACTGTCGGCTGATAGTACAAATGTCCACGCCATCTTGGTCGTCTGTTGGCGCGCAAAACTCCGACAAACCACGTGACACAGCATCGGGTGGTATAAAAGAGAAATTTCCATAACTCATAGTTTCACCAACATCAGGGGCAGTAACTCTTGACTGACCATCATCAAAAATACTCGGTGGGTAAAAACCGAACTCGTCAGTGGATTCTCGGTCGGATTTCTGAGATGTGCTTCTACTTCGGGATATATCATGTTCGTCATATCCAGAATCCTGTCGTTCTGTTTCACGCCTATAAGCATCTCCGAACCGTTCGGAAAACCACAAAACGTCACTCTTCTCAAATCGTCCTGCTTTTAATATGGCATTTTCAAGATCAGCTTTACAGCTACTTTCAGGCACGTCGGTAAACACGTCTTTAAGATCAAGTGGAATATAGGAATTAGCCTGCAACTGGTGGATGTAACGGATCAGATTGGGTAACTGTTGAAGCAATTCAAAATTAATTCGGAAATCGGACAAATAAAATTCTTTCGGTGTGTAATAGAAGGACACGGTAAGGAATTTATCTGTATCTAAGCGATTACCACCGTTGGTACCCATAGCAGCAGTGGTTCTTGAAACACCTTTATGGACATTCTCCAGTTGCCTGTTTTCCTTCAATATCTCAGCCAGCACCTCCGGAAATAAATTAGCAGAGTCAGTTAACACTTTATAATTATAACTCTCATTACTGATGGACGCCTTCAATAGCTTATAGCTCACCTCGGAATTCACCACAAGAACGTAATCAGCCTTGTCCAGACTCTTATGCAGCCAGCCTCTCCACGAGTCAGAACCGATCTGTTTGATCTCCCACGGAGGGTAGATAACTCGACACTGGCATTTGTCTTTCAAGAAGATCACTAACTGTTTCACGACATCCAGATGATGCGCGTGATCGTCTGCGCTTAACACAAACACCGTCTTCTCTCTGATGGCCGCTTCTGGAAGAGATTGTAGAATCGTGTAATATATAATTAGGTTGTGTACTTATCTTTAAATCCCACTACCCCAGTGATATTACGACGTTTCAGTTTAAGCAAGACAAACGCTCAAAAAAAAAAAAAACGAAGTTGCTCTTCAATATAATGTTAACGACTTGTTTAAACAAATATACTTGATGTTGCAGTTAGTTAGTGAAGGATCGACCAATCACTGGCATTCTAATTTTACTAAGAAAAAACTCCTATAAAAGACCTGTAGACCTCGAAATATGTCTACAGAGAGTACAATGGTCGACCCTTGGTAGCCGCGTTTACACTGCCATACAAATTAGCCCACATAATTTGTGGCTGTTTAAACGCGGCTATAAAACGATCCCCAAACGACTGAGCTATGCGCTTTAAACACACAAAATATTACAAACCTCTAAACTGGTCAAACGAACTCTTTTCTTGTAAACTTGCAGGATCATCATCACCTGAAATACAACGGTATCTAATGATATTCTACGGCCTGACGAAACATGTCGCCCTAAATAAGCAACAATTGCATAAAAAAACGGTGTCAAATCTTTTAGCAAGAAAGAAAGAAAAAATGAATGAATGAATTGAATGAATCGTACCTCCTTTTCTGCATTTTAACATGTAATACAAAAGAGCAGCCGTTCCAAGAGCGAATATAATCGTCAAACCCACAGCTAGACCGATCGTCAACGGGTCGTTATCTTTTGATTTGTTAACCTCTCCAATGTTGGGACCAGTTATACCAGGTAGGCCGTTAGGAGTTTCAGACGATTCGGGAGATGGTGATGTTTCATCTAAATCTCTATCTGATGTTGATGTCGAGGTTGGGGATGATGTTGTCGTCGGTACATCTGAAAATAAACAATTCCAATGAAAAAATACTTTACGCCCTTCTTTTCTTCATCAGATTGGGTTAATGACGACAGTTGTTGCTAGGAAGTGTGCGATGAGGAAATATTGTTCACTTGAATACAATGTTAATGCGTTACAACGATCTAAGATTACATTACAACTTCGTTCCTTTTTTATACCCTATGACGTTATTTTCGTATAAATCTTTGCTAACAATAACGAAATGTGAGCAATGCCTTCACCCCTCCCTGAAAACATTCTGACAACCGACCAATTCCATTACTACCCCTCCGGATAATTTACTTGCCCCCGAACAGTCAATAATAGCTTGCAAGGGGCCTGTTGTGGGATATGGAAACTCGCGCTATTCCTCAATTTGTTATTAACAATTGGCAAATGAGTGTTATATACATTCTTGCTGACGGTTATCAACAGTATTATGGCGTTAATGGTAACCACAAGTCGAAACAGAGTAAAGCAAATATTCCGACTTGTAATGCGACTGTAATATTCATGTTAAATTCTTACCTGGTGCCGTGACATTAAACTGCGGAGTTAAAACAGAACCGCATCTCATCTCACAATATTTTTCGTTCATAGCGTCTATTACATAACACTGGCAATTATCATCATCATTCCGATGTTGATCTTTAGGTTCAATCTGAAACATGACGTAACGTAAAATTTGTAATGTAGATCTAAACATAAGTGTGACGTCATAACAAAATGTAATGTAACGTAAACATCGACATAAGCGAAACGTCGTAACCTCGTCACATAATGTAACGTAGCATAATGTAACGTAATGTAGACATTATTGTAATAAGCGTAACGTCGTAACATAATATAACGCTACCAACATTTTAACTATGCTCTTTTTCGGCTTATACAAACACCTTACTGCCACGCCAATAGAAACAGGGGTCTATAGGGGGAGGGAGGGAGGTGCACTGGATGAATTCCGATAACCGACCAATTCCACTCCTGCAATAAAACATCATACACCATTTGCATTGTCCCTCCGAACAATCAAATCTGGCTACGGGTGTGCCTACTGCTTTATTTTTTTGCTCTGCATCTTATTGGGCCCAAAATATGCTGAGCAAAGTAATGATATTTAACTATTTATCAATGGAAACCATCAAGAACTTACATCTAGAATGTATTGGCCAGTCGGTATATTATAAAATGTAACCTCGGCATGTGGTGAATTCTGTACCTAAAAAATAACCGAATATAATTAAAGAGTCTGGAGGTAACTCTAATAGTCGACAATCCGCTTCAATGCTGAAAGAGCTACCCCCTACTATTCTAGGACAGACAGTGTCTCAAATCGACACAAATTATATCCAGTTTACACACGGTCTGACAGTCCCTCTCCGCCTCAGCAATTCCGAGCAACGAGTTCTTACATCCCCCACCCCCTCGGTCCAGTGGCGTTTCTATGAAACATCAGGTGAGGGGGGCAAGCCGGGGCCACACAATTTTTCAGGGGAGGGCACAGGCTTACATTCACATTCACATTTACCGCCCCCACGGAGAAACGCCCGTTTCGGTCCCTCCACATAATGAGTTTTAAAAACGCCGCCATTTATTCAGGACATTTTTAATTATTTCAGGGAGATATTCAACAATTATAAAATCCTAATGGAATGGAAGAGAAGGGACCTGGTTGATATCAGTCTCCATGTATATACTTACACGTACGAAATCCTTGGATTGTATCAGACCAGAAGTTTTAGGATTTTTCAGACCAATCTCAAAATGTGTGAAACTAAATCCCGGGTAATTGAAGCTCAGCGTGACGTTGTTGTCATTAAATTGTAATTTTGTTGAAGTTGTCCACTTGATAGAATCCTTCGTGGGTCCTGAAACAGTGAAAGTACAAAAACGTTGGTTTATATTTTGGATTGTTCATAGTTCTAGTCCTGGAGGATACCCCATATATAGCAATACAATGAACTTTGATTCGCCAGTAGTCGCTTCAATGATATTGATTCAATTAATTTGTCGTCAATGTCCCCCATACACGATTGTCTTTCTCGTAAATTAATTGGCGAACAAATTTATCGTGTATAGGGGCCCTAAGAGTTCTGGTTGTTTATTGGTCACATAACATTCTATCAATAAATAAACAAAGTACAAACAATCCGAACTGCAAAACCAAACCCAAAACAACATAATGGCAAAACATTGGTAGAAGCTTAATAAGATATTTTTAGCTGAGCTAATCAGTAATAGTGTTCTCAGCGAAATTCTAGCCTTTAAATCGGGAATTATCTGCGTTTGAATGTTAAAATGACTCGTCAATTTAAGATACTTTGTGATATATAGAAAGGACATCTATAGAAATTGTGAGTAAAATTCCTAATTTGAAGTATTTTTAAGGGGATTATGTGATTTCCGTACATTTCTAGTACTTCAAGACTAAAATTAACCCCCCAAAATGGAACACTTGTCCTTTTAAATGACATTTAGAAATAGATAGAACATTAAATAAATAACACTAATATAGATATACTACTCCTTTCTTTAATTCTATCAACGTTTCGATTCATTAGATTTGTGCTTGATAAAGATTCCTGTATGTGTTTCGAAACGTTGCAAAAATTAAAGAAAGGAGTATTATATCTATAATATATAATTATTTATTTAATCAGTTATATTACCAACATAAAAAATTACATTTTTGATGCTTTGAAATTTGTTTGTCGCTATCATAGATCGCGACTTGCGTTTACAATTGATGGTGTATGTCGACATTGAGAATGAATTAGTCGACGTTATTTGAGAGTTTGTCAATAGTTTGATTGGAATTTGAAACCTTGTTCAATCAACTACAACCATTACACTTTTTATCTTCAATTTGTTTGTATCAATAATTCACGCCAAAATATCAATTTACTGTAGAAGGAAGTAACTGAACATAACAGAGTTTGGCAGGTTTGGTCCTCTGTGTAAATATAATGTTTGAAGTCATGCTACATATTCAATATATCGCAGTCTGGAGAGAGAAAGCGGATGTTGGGAAAATGACGAGGAAGTGACACCATATTTCATCTGTTATTATCATACATTAACTCAGTAAAACCATCTGGTGGCCTCAAAACAAAACAAAATCAAAATTATTTTTAAATTTATTTTAAAAGAATTGTAAAAAAGTTTAAAAAGTTTTTATGTGTATCGGGACACTGTCAACATCAATTTCCACCATTTTATTTCACTAATTGCCAATTATGATTGTATGACATACGGTCATTCGCGATTAGTGACCTCATTAAACACTTATTGCAGGAACCACACAGTTCTGGTTGAAAATTGGAATGATGGAAATTGATGCTATCAGTGTCCCCGATACACATATTTTTTTTTAGAAAACCTCATTCTAATCAATATCTTTTAAGAGATATTCTGTAAAAATTGTTATAATTCCGTTTTGATAAGGAAAATACTATTCATTAATTTTATCAAAAATTTCGTTCTAATTTTCTGTACCTCACTGTAATTAGTATGATAAAACAGGGTTTTACGCTTTTTCAAATTAGCGCCATACAATCGATCAGCTATTACAGATGAGATATTTTTTTGATTAAAAGTGGAATATCTCGCTGATTGTTTTTCTTTTTCCATTTATCTGCGAATATTTGACGTATACACACAATAGATTTCTATCGATTTCAATTAAAAGGTGATTTTTACACGAGACAATAAAATAACAACTATATAATTGAAACACTAATGTGTTTTCTCTCGTTTGGTGTAATATTCCTCTATGGCACCATTCTTCAAAGCCTGGCAGACGATATGGTTCCGTTTATATCAAATCACTAACACAATCGTCATATAGATATCACTCGATATCAAACATAGATAGACAAAATTCAACGACCATTTCCACACCCATATACCTGTCAGTATTTGATGTTTACTGTTTAGAATGATCAGAAGTAGCCATTAACATAGGCCCCATCAGAAACTATGCTTGATTCTTAAATGGAAATATTACACACGAACATAGTTCACAACCATTTTGAATCTCTTCCTCGACTAAATAAGTCGAATTTTGCAGAAGAGTTATAATGTTTCAACTGAGCTTCTATATCACATTCAAAGATTTAGAAATAGTTTTATTTGTAATGTTAAGGCTTTATTGAAACATTGTAGCCTTTTTAAAAATTCGACTTATTACGTCGAGATATGTTCGAGTGTGAAGAAACACACGTAGTTTCGTATGCAAAGGTCCTAAAGGAAAGACAAAATTCATTTCGTCTTACAGACGAAGATTTCGATTTCCCAATCAAGGACACAAATTGACCTAAAATGACCCCTTGATGGAAATCAAATATTCAAATTTGAGTATTTCTCGTCGCAATAGTAAATCAAAACAGACTTTCTTCGTCGTACTTTGTAACCAATCAGAACAGTAGCAAGAAGAATGTGTCTCAGGTAATCCGGTTTAAAATTAAGGTCAAGAAGCCGGAAGGGCGAGGTTTAACAATTTTAGATACTACACGTACGAGATTAAGACGTTGACCTTCAAGGTTATCTTCTCTACATATCATTGTCACCCTTTTCTACATTCTAATGCTCTAAATCTAGAAGCAGACCATACATACTCTGTTCGAAACACCTGATGATACTCCTCTTTTGAGGAGCTCACTACTACGCAACTTTTACTCTCGATTTTGCTATGCTTTGGATGAGATTTTGATTGACGGAATTGTCTTGCTTGTATGGATTTTTATCAAAGACCCTGATCTGAAAGACTTCAACTTTTTACATTGAAAAAAGCTCAAACTCACGTGCAAGTAAAATTAAAATGGACGTACTGAAAATTTGAGATGGTTAGAAGTTTCATGTACAATGTACAGTGTGCGACGTAAAGTGTAGTTGTAGGTCAAAACGTACATCGGTGCATCTTCAAAATGTCAAGTTATTACGAACTTCGTCTTATGCAATGACTGCAATAGTCACCTTTCTTGTATCATGAAATTTTGTTACTGAAGTAATTTGAATGGATTGTACGCTAGCAAATACAGCCAATCAAGGTCCTCGACAGAACGCCTTAACACAAAGTCAAAATGTTTAAATCCTTTCTGTCAAGGGCTCTAATTGGTGGGATTCGCTAGCGTACAATCCAATCAAATCGCTGCATAACGTGATACTAGAATGGTGGCTATCGCAAGATATAAGACGAAGTTCGCGCAATAGCTTGATATTGTGAAGATGGGTGAAAGGGTACATAAATTCTAGCCAACTAGAACAGTAGCAGGAAGGACTTGGCACAGGTAGTCCGGTTTAAAATTTAAGTCAAGATGCATCTGAAGATCGAAATTGCCCAATATTATATACAGGATTGAAACCTCTTCAAAACTAAAATAAAGTAGGTTTGTTTACAACAAAATTCCACAAATTGAACCCCTTTAATCTTATATCCGATTGCCTTATAACAACTTTATTAAACTAGTATTTGTCCTCGGTGTCATCTGTTACTCTTACTAAAAATCGTCAACACTCAGTAAAACTCTAGACTTTAGACCACAGGTTTTCAACTCTTTTTGTTTCTATTATCCCTTTCAGGATACTGGATCAATTGCATCACTTTGATACAACTATAATCAAAATACCCAACATAAGTTTAAAATATATCATTAATATTAAGGAGTAAAGGTGGATGATGCGTCAGACAGAGTATACTTACTCTTCTAGACATATGATACCATTATACAATACTTATTATTGATATACAGTGGAGCCGCCTTTTTCCGGTTGCCGATAATCCAGAAACCCCGATATCCGCTTACTGGGAACGGAATAATTACTATGTATTTTCGTTAAACCGCACGATTTTATCGGGAACTGGAATGTGCGGATAAACGAGGCTCCACTGTACTTCCTCATGCGAACAACTCATTGGCTGCTACTAATATTTTGCCAGTTTGTTGTTTAAGATTTCGGGTTTCGTGTTGCGGTTTAGATGGTGAGTACTTTGGTTTTTCTATTTTTATCATTGTAACAATTTCTCACATAAGCTGTTGATGCATTATTTCCGAGAGGTTTAGCCCAGAAACAGCTGGTTGAAAGATGACAAGATTGTACCATTGTTCTTCCTCATTTCTTTATAATCATAATGCCCGATTCAAGTATTATTTCCGGAAATTTATAAATCAGTCAACAACAGTTCGAAGAGATACAGGATTGAAACGTTGATTTACTTCCTGGTGTCAATTCCGTAGACCATTGTAGTTCATGATTTACCTACGTCTTAAATGTTTAACAAAAGCTTTCTTGTCATCGTCGAAATTCCCGCATATCATATTGGGTTTACAATTTTCTACACCTAATTCGTTCTTATTCCAATTTTTAACAAAGTTTTTACTCCATTTGAGGTGTTCCTACTTTTTGATGGAATGTTGGAATTGAGTTAGACAAATTCTTGTAGACAACACCGAATCGATTTGATTTTAAGGCACTAGAGTTGTCATTTGTTGTGTAAATGTAATAGACGAGGTACGGTGTCTGGTGCGATTCCGATGTGGGATTATCAATACAGTAGAAAATATAGGAAGCTAATACACGAGGTAGGGAACAATTTGCGCCTTCTATTTTATACTGTACCGATAATCCCGCACCGTACTGGACATTACATCGGGCACAGCTTTGGACGGAGCATTGAACACGACACCAGATACCACACCGGACACCGTACCTCGACTATTACCACCTTAACACAACAGTTAGATAGATATATAATTTAGTTGAATATCTCGCAGCATCCTGCCTTTACATCTTAAACATTGATTCTTTCCAAGATCAAAAACTTTATAACATCTCGGTACTCATTTTCTTATTTTCTGGATTAATTTTAACCCTAGGTATATTTGAAGGTCTCTCTTTAAATAAGAATTTATGATAACTGACTTACCGTTATTGGAGGCACCGTTGATATTTCTATAATGATGCTTTACTAATCTTCCATCAGTCAGCGTTCTCGGCAGAGAAAACAACTTCAAATGATAATACGTAGAGGAAATATTCAAATCTTTCTCATATTCAAATGTCACCTAGAATTAAGACAGATCTATTTAAACATTAAAAATAAACCAAAAAAAAAAAAGAACATTCCCTGTTAATATTGCCTGTATAGGTCTTTGATTAACACGCGCTTGTTTCTATAAAGATTAAAAAGAGGTTTCTATCCCATGTATGTGTGTATCACATTATGACACAATTACTGCACAAGATATCTATTGGCTTAGATGGATTTTGAAATACAGAGGTCTTAACTAATATATTACAAGAATAATTGGTGGCAAACATGGAATCTTTACTTTACACGGTCATGTCCATAGGGACAAACATAGATACCATAGTGACATGGTCTTGTCTAACATTCAGCCCATGGGGACAAACATAGATACCATAGTGACATGGTCTTGTCTAACATTCAGCCCATGGGGACAAACATATTTACCATAGTGACATGGTCCTGTCTAACATTCAACCCGAAGAGACAAACATGGATACCATAGTGACATGGTCCTGTCTAACATTCAACCCGAAGAGACAAACATGGATACCATAGTGACATGGTCCTGTCTAACATTCAACCCGAAGAGACAAACATGGATACCATAGTGACATGGTCCTGTCTAACATTCAACCCGAAGAGACAAACATGGATACCATATATAATATGGAAACAAACAAACAAACAAACAAAAAAACAAACAGGCGTTTCAAAGTCAAACTACCTTATATGTATTTATTCTGAAGGTTAAAATATAATACATAATAATATGTTTTCGATTTTATAATATATGTGGGTCTTCGCCTCGTTGTGTTGAACCAGCTAGCCCTTTTAATATTTCATTTAATGCGTTCGATTATTTTATAGGTCAGGAGGAACAAATTTAAAATATTATACTGATTGTCCTACCCTATAACTACTATGTATTGAATTTTAATATCAATAGATCAAAAACGCGGACGAAATATACAAATAAGAGGTGTTTAAATATTTTGAAATACTATACTACTTAAAGGTGGGATCTAATACTTATATGAATAGAATGAAGAGTTGTTCTAATGAGTTGGAAAAATACCAGTTTGTCTCACAAGTCCATTATTAATTCATAATTAGCTAAATTAGAAGAGAATTACCAGCCATGTAATTATCAATTAGCAGAATTCCAATAAGTCTTTTTTTTTGTTTCTCCAGTGTTTGTACATATATGGATATTAATGATTGATTAAAACTCTCAATTATATACAATAAGAAAATAATGATAATTCAATAGAAACACCAAATATTTGTTAAATTTGACAATAAATAACAAGGGAACCCATCTTTAAAATGAGCAAAGATACTCCTACTGCCTGTTTGTGTATAGAAATTTTAACTTCATTTTAAGTGGTAGAATTTCTTTAAGATCAGCTTTGTTTTATCCCTTTCTCCGATAATAAACATGTATATTATCGAAACGTTGTGTTCCATAAGATCAAGGCTGGAATAGCGTTTCATGTCTTGGCCTCTAATAGGGACTAGATATTGAAACACAAAATTAATATTCTACCCAATTTCCTTTTATAGACCTTAGTACCAAAATTTTATCTGTAGTCGACTGTGGTCCCAAGATTGAGGGTACAAATAGGGGGCAGACTGACTCAATGGGGGGACAAATGCTGAGGCTGAATTCAAATTTTGTGGGGAAATTGAACCCCACCCCCCCGCCTCTCATCTCCTCCTGTACCCCGCCAATGTTGGCAAGTATTTCTAAATTTGCCAAACGTGGACATTTTGTATAGCTTTCTCTATCGTGAACTAAAGGTGCCCTCACACCACAGAAATCAACAGTTTTGTATGGATGCGGATAATGCATCGTTCAAAACCGCTATTCTTATTTGCAACCATGCGCAACCGTTGATCACTATGGGAGTGAGTGTACCTTTATAGATAAATATTTTACAATAAAAGAAGATTTATTTGCCAAAAGCGTAACTCTTTTATTATGTTGAAGATTGTCGAGTATAGGCATGTCTTGTGTATATTGTATTTTACGAACTGTACTTGAAATGTTGTGTAAGTGTCAAGTGTAGAGAAAGTAAGGTTGTGTCATTTGAAACATTCTGGCCTCAATTCAATGTTTTGAAACCAGTTTGTACATGTAAAATGATTTATTAAATATCTTCGATCTATTATGATTAAAATCAAAATGGTCAAAATTCGCCTTGCCAATACTACCACCTCCAGCCCAGCCCCAGATTAATATCATTTTTTACATTATTTAATAGTTCTTATTACTACTTTATTGTTTCTTCCAATGAGCTGAATTTTCACCTCGGCACGTGCTTTCTTAGTTTCAATTATAGACTGTTGTTACAACTAGGCCTACTCTTACCCAGCTACGAAATACAGCGGCTCAACTACCATTGGGCCAGTGCTTCTATAGGCCTACGAGAGGATTTTCTACTACACCTGCAAAAGAAGTGTGTTTTCTTGTGACTTTGGTAAATGCTATAAGGACTATCTCCCACAACAACCAATAATACATGCATATCAACTCTTGGGTATTTATGACCCAAACTAGTATATAGGTACTTATTGTATAATAAATAATAGAGGCCTAAAGTGAAAGTACATTTGTAAATTTGTATTGTTGTCAATTTTATTAGATTACACCTGAACGAGTCCTTTTACACTTTTATTATCAAAATATTGTTATTGCAATAACAAATAACAGATCTGTGCCAACAAAATATTGAACATAACAAAATCAATTTGGAAATTGATAGTGCAGTTAGTTTATAAAAAATACAGGACTCGAGGTACAACTCAAGGGTGAACTCAGAGTCATTATCCATTGATAGTGAAGTTCTGTAGCATATCAACATGTCTTAACATGGCGTCATTTGCTTGGTTACGTTACAAATGGTGGCTATGGGTTATAATCTCGGTCGGCATATATAAGTCCAATGACCTTGAATAAGTCACCTTCGTTCATTATTCCAGTCGAACCAGGGTACGGATAATTCGGGATAGATTAATGCCAAAAGATTTGGCCAAGGACCAGCTGGTAGAAAGTGTCCCTAATTATGAACCTAATAGTTGTTTCTTGTTTACCCATTTACACACATGTCGTCAATTAAACCAAAGACTAATTTGTCTCTATTTGTCTACACTGACTCTATACTGGCTAAAGTCTAAATGCGTAAAAAATGAGATAAGGTATGACTGAACACTCAAAATACATGTATTTTATCTTTTATCAATAATTCAATATTTCATTTGTCATTATTTGTATTATACTGTCAATCTAGAGGAGTACCCTGCACTAATTTAACTCTACAATAAAAGAATTTGGAGTTCAAAAACAGCAAATCTTTATTTTTGTACTTGTCGTTAATACTTGTAAAATTTGAAGCAATTACTAATACAAAATTTAAAATATTTGCAATTACTTAAAAGGATCTTAAAGAGGTTTTCGAAAGTTTTATGTCTATTGGGGAGACTGATAGCATCGATTTGCGCCATTTCAATTTTCAATTAGACATCTCTGGTTTTTGTAATTCCTCTAAAATTTATCCTTTTATGACGACACTATCACTTGAATTTAACACCCTCAAAAACCAATTTTTGCAAATTTTGCTCATTATCTGTATAATACGAACAGACGCCAGGCTGTTGGTCTGATAAGGGCTATATTTTTCTACAAATACAGCTGCATAAACATAAACTTGAAAAAAAAAATGAAATGGGCGTAACAATGGCAGAACAAGGAATGACCTCAATATAATTATTATATTATGGAATATGAAAAAAAAAACGTCTAACGAAATCATATTTGAATTTGAATAATGGTGGTTTTAAGAATCAAAAAGACAGATGAGATTCGGTCTCTTATCTTTCTGAGGAATACAGATAATACATTTAACATGGGTGTTATCTGTATACATAATAACCAGTATTGACCTAGTAACAGACTGATAGATAACATCATATCCTTCGTTTCCCATACTTGACATGTTATTATTTGCTTAACTCTTGTATTCAATTAGCGATTATTATCTATATATACGTTCTCCGAGAACTGAGAAGTGATATAGGCCTATAATATGTGGGGTTTAACGTCCTACTACTTTTCTGCACCATATAGTTTCAAGAAGAACAATATGTAATATTATACGAGCGCTATGTAAATGTTATACAAATACTCCCCATACAATGGCGGCACTAGTCTATTGGATATAGGGGATACAAATAAAGGGCAGAGTGCGGAGGGGGAGCGGCTACTGTCAGGGTTGAGATTCCAAAACGCACCGATCACAATTGGATGTACAATATATTTCATAACGGCATGGACAATTGGTTTACTTGTATGAAATGAAATGAAATGAAATGAAATGAAATGAAATAAAGTGAGTTTTACGTCCTGCTATTGTGGACCTAATTGCTAATAAATATGGGCAACACCATGCAGTGTGCAATAAGGGTAATTTTGTCAGAACAGCTGCATTACCCTACTCTTTTTCAATTTCCAAATTTCGAGGGATCTTTAACGTGCGATTAACGAATATGACTAATGTATTGAGTGAAATAAACTGTAGGTCTATTACTTACATTCCAATCTGAAGACGTAAACTCAGCCCCTGTCAGCTGGAACATGGTACAGAAATCAGACGTGGAACAGGATTGTCCAGCCACACACACCCCATCTACCATAAACCCTTTTAAATTCTTGACGGCGTTAGCTGGAAGAGAAAACAGGTGAATTTTTAAAGGCCATGGATTTAAAGGATCAAATTTCGACGGTGAGTTGTGAAGACTATAACTGGTGAACCTGTTCTTTGAATGAATAATCCGAGACACTAGTACAAATAGATCTGACTTAGGTTCTCATCAATTCGTCCCCCGGTGGGACTAGGGTGTCAGGGGGTATGACCAACTGGTGTAGGAGAAAAATTTATTTATTTATAACATATTTCTAGCGTGTTTCACATAAACAGGTTCTTGTGGAGGCGCGGTAATTACAAAATGATTACAATGTTAAAGAAAAGGGTTGTGTTGCTTGATTAAAATTTACTGCTATATCTGAAGCGCGGGCAATCTCAGATATTTCGCCCCCCTTCGGACGTTAACATGGCTCTGCCAATGACCACGGTCCATCTATCTACTCATGAGAGGGTGCAGTGAAAACGAAGATGCTCGACGCCAAATGAATTAAATGTATTATACCATGAACGTATTTAGAAACGTTTTTTCTATCACAATTGTTCCAAATATGGTTTGCAAACGGCTTTTGAAAGTCTCCCTTTAACAAAACATGGCTGAAAAGAACTCATAAGAATAGGATGCTATCAAAACTTCTGAAAAATAGTTCCGATGTATTAGCTTACTTACAAGATATGGGTAGGTTCCAGGATAGACGTAGTCTTGGTATATACCAGGTAACTTCAGAAATATTTCGTATATTCCTCTTCACATCAGATTCAAAATTCTTAGCAGATTCAATCGCTCCGGTGTCCTCGTCGACTATAGGAAGGTTGGCATTATTGGGTATGCGACAATCTAGATAAATAAATAAACTCAAATTCAACTTGCTCAGTGACTCGATTACTTAAGACCCCATTCTCCCTTGTTGATACCAGCAGTACTGGATTTTAGTATCATCAACAATATCGCCATACTGGGTATCGGAGTCTAAGAAATGTTTTCAAGAAGATCCGGCTTTCACCAAGATTTTACAGGTTTATTACATAATTACATTTCATATACATTCTTTTAAATATTATTCCTTTAAAATCTTGAGTTTTATTCCAGTTAAATTAAATTGAAACAGACGGGGAGAACAAAATGAAACAAATCCCCTCACCTGCTGCTGGGATGGTGTATTCTACACAGGAAATGTCAGTTCTCTACAAAAAACAAAACAGATTGTTAACATCATTCAGCATGTTGTCGATTGAAGGTGTGAAGACTTTCTAAAGCATCAGCCGTGGAATCATTTCCGGGAGAGCGGAGGGATTCGAACCTACGACACCGATAATCACCTACCAGGCAAACAATCTAATTCGATACCTGCTAAGCTACGATAATCCATTGTCTTATACACATTACATTGGCGTTACCCTATTGGCTAAAACAGCCAATGATATATTAGTTTTTATAAAGATTGTGAAGTAAATTAGGTTTGTCCATCCCAATATAATAGACTGAGCAATTTTGGCTTATTAACTTCATTTGGTTATAACTTTCTCCATATCATTCAGTTGTTTTTTTCTATAATATAATAATCTTTCAATGACATTTAGAAGTAGATAAATGAGGGTTAGGGAGCTGTAGAAATCAGCTTTGACGTTTTTTTATTTATTTATATATATAATATACTTCTTGTTCTGTCTTCTATCATTATCATTTCATGTTTGATAAATATTTCTGTATGTGTGAAATGAAACGTTGTATAAATTAAAGAAAGGTGTAGTTTATCTATAATGGTGTTTTTATTTATTTAATATAAAATGAATATTTCAAAATATTCGTCAGAAGTCAGCGCATCCTTTAAAACATTAAAAATCGTCCAAATTAGTTCATGGACTAGGGAATTGCTGAAACATTTAGCTTGAGTCCAAAAGTGTAGGATAGTTGCCTCAGGAATGATTTAGCAATTTCATTCATTAAATATCTTCAATGGTCTATACTTATCTAGAACACTGATTCTATTGCTAAGAATGTTGGAATTTTCCCAACCTATGAATCATGGAATATAGAATAGAACCATTTTGACTTGACACTTATAAGTTTTACACGTGGGAGTTGTTATATAATCAAAATGACTAATATTACCTTGTTTTCATTTTATATATAAAATATTACTGTTAAAATAGTGCTCAATACATCAATTATAGAGTGATATAGAAATACCACTGTTAAAATAATGCTCAATACATCAATTATAGAGTGATATAGAAATACCACTGTTAAAATAGTGCTCAATACATCAATTATAGAGTGATATAGAAATACCACTGTTAAAATAGTGCTCAATACATCAATTATAGAGCGATATAGAAATACCACTGTTAAAATAGTGCTCAATACATCAATTGTAGAGTGATATAGAAATACCACTGTTAAAATATTGCTCAATACATCAATTATAGAGTGATATAGAAATACCACTGTTAATATAGTGCTCAATACATCAATTATAGAGTGATATAGAAATACCACTGTTAAAATAGTACTCAATACATCAATTGTAGAGTGATATAGAAATACCACTGTTAAAATATTGCTCAATACATCAATTGTAGAGCGATATAGAAATACCACTGTTAAAATAGTGTCAAAAAGACGAGTCGTTTGAGATATCATTGAAGGAATTATGAGATTTTCGTTAGTACTTCTGAAGGCTATTTACATATATTCAAGATTCAAATCGACCCCCTAAAATAACACACCTGTCCCTTTAAGGCAAATCAATGTAGGTATTTGTATGTATGGTATTCTGATATAACTATTAAAGATATGAATCCTTATCAAGGGCAATGATTCATCCATTTTGTTCAACTGTCGGGGTATAATATATGGGAGTTAAAATCCCAGGGGTGAGGTATGATATCATAAGGCTATGAAGTATATTAAAAGGGCTTCAACGAAATGAATTGTGTATGATACGTTTTATCGTTTATGAGATTACATAACACTTGTGTATAGTTAAATATAGGGGCTGAATCGCACCTGCATACTCTTGACATAATCAGACAGTACATTGCATATACCTTCAATTTAATATCATATAAAAACCAACACTCCTTAATAAACAAACAATACATGACTGGTAGAGCGATACATTAGTTAAATATCTTAATTTATTCGTTTAATATTCATGTCAAATATCATGGACACAAAAATATGTTTTTTAATCTAGGAGTGGGATACGAAGTGTGACCAAAAAAGAAACTCAATCGCTCATGAGAATTCATTGTGAGCCATAAAAATTTCTCGATTTCCATTTTTTTTTAAATTTGAATTTAGTGTTTAGCTCGCAGGTATTCCTTCTTTCTTAAAATACATCATAATAAATAAACATATCGATATTAAAATACAAACATTGAGATATTTAAATTTGAAAGTTCAAATGCAGTACACTGTCATCAGGAATATAATAATACTTCTAGATAATATATTACTTTCAACGTTTCAATGTGGTTCTCACACTGTCATTAGGAATATAATAATACTTCTAGATAATATATTACTTTCAACGTTTCAATGTGGTTCTCACACTGTCATTAGGAATATAATGATACTTCTAGAATATCTATTACTTTCAACGTTTCAATGTGGTTCTCACACTGTCATTAGGAATATAATGATACTTCTAGAATATCTATTACTTTCAACGTTTCAATGTGATTCTCACACTGTCATCAGGAATATAATAATACTTCTAGAATATTTAATACTTTCAACGTTTCAATGTGGTTCTCACACTGTCATCAGGAATATAATAATACCTCTAGAATATTTAATACTTTCAATGTTTCAATGTGGTTCTCACACTGTCATCAGGAATATAATAATACTTCTAGAATATTTAATACTTTCAACGTTTCAATGTGGTTCTCACACTGTCATCAGGAATATAATAATACTTCTAGAATATTTAATACTTTCAACGTTTCAATGTGGTTCTCACACTGTCATCAGGAATATAATGATACTTCTAGAATATTTAATACTTTCAATGTTTCAATGTGGTTCTCACACTGTCATCAGGAATATAATAATACTTCTAGAATATTTAATACTTTCAACGTTTCAATGTGGTTCTCACACTGTCATCAGGAATATAATGATACTTCTAGAATATTTAATACTTTCAACGTTTCAATCATTCATTAAATGCTCATTTAGTATTTTAATAGTATCTATTAATAATTAATTTTTTAACCATTTTTCTTTCCAATCCGCCATTTAAAGACAAAAACCACAATAAATAAGTCACCGGGAAAGTTGAATGTTGACAAAATCAAGGACACGTGTTAAGAATGTCACATTAAAACAAGCAGGATTTAAACGAAATATTAGTAAGGGTAAACAAACACTCAATATTTCTCTTAGATTGAAATCAGAATGTGAAAAACTTCAAAACATTATTCATTTCTCAAAACAACTCGAAACAAATCCATTTTTAAAATGATCAAAAAATCACTATGGGGTGTGTTAGGAATAGAGTATATATATATATATATATATCAGATGGCCGAGTAAAACAATAGATTGATACTATTATATTTAGAAGATCGTATTGAATCGGTACTACCAGATCATAATAAGTCTTTTTTTTTCATTATTTGGAAAATACTAACTGAACTTAATTTAACAGGACTTTAAAATATATAGTTCTAACCTCATGACCTTGGCCCGCGCTTTTATGAAGATTCTTTTCGCATATCATCCTTACGCAAACAATTTCCTTTTCCGAAAAATTCATAAAGTATCAAGGCTAAGACTATAATATTTTCATCTCATATTTACATATTGATATAGTCATCATGATATTAGTAAACTTTAGGTTATTAATTTTATTGTAGACGAATTGAAAGTCATATTTCCATTCTACAAACAGATACAGACATGCGGAATTGATATCGATTGTTTTGTCAACTGATCCAGGCTAGCCGAGGACTAATTTACATCAACACAAAGCAATATTAACATTGCCATTGAAACAAACACGTTTTGAATATTGCCTCAATAGAATAAGCGTGTGTATTTTGCAAGCTGGTGATTCCATTGAATTTTTAAAATTACACAACACTGTAGGTCTGTGTTTATCTTTTGTTAAGAAAAAGTAATAATCAGTTAAAACAGGTAGTGATAGTCATACCATAATCATTTAATAATTCAAAATCAATTAAATTTGGCTGCCGACAAGTTTCACCAGATCAGCAAACCTGTCGTAAACTCGTCCGTCACTCCATCTTAAGATTTCTCCTTCTATTAGCGACAAAACAGGGATCAATGTTAGCAATGTCGAAATTAGTCGGACAGATTCGCAATTCATTTGACCAATCGTATCTTAGTCTCAGAAACGGCATTTGGAACAGTGTGCACAGCTCACCGTCGAAATTTGAGCCATCAAATCCGTGTTTGAAAGTTAAAAAGACGACTCGCCATTTCTTGACACTGTCATATATATAGTTTGTGGTATTTTTGAAGGGGTTTTTGTACAATTCCTTTTCTTAAAAACTCAGATCAACCCCCGATAATGGCGAACTTGTATCTTTAAGTGCATTGAAAGGTTTACACTATTAACTGTGTGAACTCTGATAACAGACGAATTAAATTACACGTTTAACAATAAATGGCTACATGGATTCCCCGAAAATGACAACAAGTTTACAATCAAAAAAGAATTTAAACAGTTTTTGCTGGATGGGTTTTCTTATAAGGATAATAATTTTATAAATCTAAACACGCGTTTAACAGTATTTGCTGCGTAGATTCTCAAAAAATGATAACAAATTTACGAATCAAACGCTTTAACATTATTAGCTAAATGAATTTTCGGAAGAATATCAAGTTGAAGAAACCACTGGAGAATGGATTCAATGTCGCATAAAGTCGCATAAGCGACTGGGTATCGTGGGTTCGAATCCTCCACAAGACAAGACACTAATACTGATATCACTGCCAGTGCTTTCTATAGACTCTTTATTTTACTTGAGACAGATTACAGCCCCGTCGACAGAAATGAATGTGCTTGGGCTCAGATTTTGAACTCAAAACGTATCGAAATCTATATCTGTACAATATTGTACAAAGACACTGTGAATGAATCAGTCTCTGCTGAACTGAAGAAGGTTTTGCTGGGGCTTAATTCTGTCTTGCTGGGGCGCAGCCCCCACGGACCCCACCCTAACGACGGGACTGGGACAGAATTAGGTTTATTACAAAGTGACATGGCCCTGTCTAACATTCAATCCATAGGGACAACCATAGACTATACAATATATTATATCAAAACAAACAGAGAAATACGCATAATGACATGATTTTACAAAAAATATCGATGAACAATTTTGAATAAAAATATACTAATAGGTACATATAAACATGATGTAGATAAACCAATTTAACGATGACGTCACAAACCCCAAATTCCACTGTCATGCCATCCTACTCGCGGCTTATTAAAAAGTGATTAATGATGTCATTGATGTAAATAACTAATTTTACGAACCTCTTTTCCATTCTGTATTATCTTTAATGTACAGTTACTGGCTGATTGGACTAAGCACTCCATTCCACAAACCAACAGCACTATTCCGCGGACTGTCTTCGAATCCCACATAATTACAGGAATACTTAATTAACTCATTAATTATCCTCGGCTAATTACGTTAATCCTTATGGATCATTTTAAACATGACCGATTATATCGCCCCATTTTATACAAGTCTTTCTTCCGATATAACCAACTTCATAAACACTAGTAGAATAAATCCGGTTGAATTGGGGTCAAAGTTTACTCGATACGGCCCTGTTTCATTCATACAATTATCTATATGAGTGACACGCGTATAGCCGTTGGTGGTTTATTTATAGAGGCCAATCAAATACGACAATTTGACGACGTGAGTACTCTTCAGTATGTACTTTCAAACAATCAAACAGGAACATATGTATGTATCTATATACCTACATTCTAAGAAATGGGTATGGAGGTTATAGTTGAAAGGTCAAATCGGGTCACCAAAATATAGAGTTGCTATTATTGCGAAACATTAGTCATGTTTGTTTGTTTTTTATGATATAAAAGTGGGGCCTATTTTTCTTCTCTTCATTGAACGAGTTTCTTTAGATCCTTTGTTATTTTGACTTGACTATGATAAAACGAAAATTGCCTTGATAAAAACAACTGAGTAAATAAACAATACATAGCATGGTATCGGTGCATGTTAGACAATATATATAATTATAGTAAAGGGGCTGTAAAGAGGTTTTCTAAACCTTTTATAAGTGTCGGGGACATTGATATCATCGATTTGAAGTATTCTATTTGTGAGAAGATCCTGCAATTATTGAATGGCTAAAAGGACTGTAAAGAGGTTTTCTTAACTTAACTTAAAGTGTCGGGGGAATTGATATCATCGATTTGAAGTATTGTATTTGTCAGATGTCTGTGGTTCCTGCAATTATAGAAATATTTAACGAATCATGTCATTATCACAAATTCTGTTACAAATATCTCAAAGCTTAAACCGTTACTTTTAGCTATACTTCATAAAAGTTTACTTTAAGTTGAATTGCAAGACCGACAGGCGTCTGATTGAAAATTGGAATGGTGCAAAAGGATGCTATCAGTGTCCGCAATGCACATATAAAGTAAAACAAAAAATCCCTACATTCCCTTTAAAGCAACTCATCCTGCAGATATTGTTTATACATTTATATACCAAGCCCAATAGGGTGCAGACAATTTGGACCCTCTTTTCAATTCTATTATACTTCACCTCCCACGGGCTTGACTAGAGTGCTTTGGTCTCAGTCTACTTAATTTAATAAATAATTCGTGGCGACGAATAATTTGTTATTCGTATCATAAATCTGACTAACAAATATTTAATTTTGGATTTTTACGGGGAATCCCCTTCGATTTAAAATTGCGACTGGGAATTAAACATAAGACCCGTTGTACAAACTTACAAACGAGTTGCACCTTTAAAAAAATGAGACTGGGGTGCAAAAGAAAAAGCTCTTCCACTGTAGAATCTAGGTGCGTCATCTCCACGGGTGAATCGTGCACGGACACCGCTAGCATCGATTTGCATCATGAAACGGAACGGAGTGACAATTCAACTAAAACTATACGTTTTATGACGTAGCTATATCGTTAAGACTCTTAGTTAGTATTAGTAGCTTTTGTGAGAGTGAGGTCAAAGAACGATTAGTTTTAGTGGAATTGTAGGAACCACAGACGTCTGACTGAAATTGGAGTGGTGAATATTATAGAGGATATCAGTGTCTCCGATACGATAAGTTTTTACTTCTTTACAATCCTTTTAATAAGGTGTCAAACACCCTTTTTTTACCCCTGTTAAAAACTCGGGAATATTAAAATATAATGCATTTTTATTGCATCAGTATGTTGAAAGATCAAATTACATAATTTAAATCATTTTATACAATACTTATTAAAAATTAAATTTAGTTTGTATATAATACCTATTGAGAATGTTCATTCAAGCTTTACGCATATTTAAACCACTTAAATGTCTGTATTGAAAGAATTCTTTTTCTTTATGTTCTTTGTTAACTCTGTTAACTGCGCAGGTTTTATTTTGGTCATATGTTATGGTTTAAAATTGGGCGCTATCGGATTAAAATTCCATGGAACGCAATTTAAAGAAGAATTTCGACAGATCATGGATGGCAAGTGTAAGAACCCATAGACAAAACACGAAATGAAAACTTTTTTTAATCAGAGAAAGAAAGAACAAACTATATTTTACAAGAATAACAACTTCTGTTCATAGTTAAAGATCCTTTTTACCAGCTGGTCCTTGGTCAAATCTTATGGCATTGATCTTTCCCGGATTATCAGATTAGCATAAGGTATTCCTCAAAGATTTTGGAATGGAAATCAAGAACAGAGTTTTGAAGAATGTCCTTGGGCTTGCCCATCAACATTATGAAAATGAACTTTGTGTTCAACTACTGATCCAAAAATGTCATTGATCGTCCCAGCCTTGTCCTCTGTTCGAGTCTAGGAACCCGTGTTTATTCAAGTCCGTCACACGAAATATGGTTTCCGAGCAGGATTTTGTACGACCCGTAAACATCCGTATTACAATTTTCACAACATTTCTGACATTTCAAATGGCAGGTATCTTGAAAATTACGTGACTTTTGGGGTCGACCGACTTTCGAGATACCAAGTCAGATTACCGAGATACCAAGTCAGATTACCGAGATACCAAGTCAGATTACCGAGATACCAAGTCAGATTATCGAGATACCAAGTTGGATTACCGAGATACCAAGTTGGATTACCGAGATACCAAGTCTGACTACCGAGATACCACGTCGGATTACCAGGTCAGGTTTTCGAGATACTAAGTCGGATTTTGAGACGCCGAACGAATTATCATCTTGTTGGAGAAAAAGAGTCACGAAGCTTAGTATTTCAAATCCAGTCACGATACGCTACGAAAGGTTTCTTCATAATCAAACTCTGTAGATGATAGTTAAACGTGTCAACATCAAGCTTGGAATTTGATCCACATTGAAAATTGCAAAAGAAAGGTCTTAGGCCGTGTCTTCACGATTGAACATGTAAAAATGTATGATGGTGTTTTGAACAAATGTATGATGATGTTTTGAACAAATGTATGACGATGTTTTGAACAAATGTATGACGATGTTTTGAACAAATGTATGACGATGTTTTGAACAAATGTACGACGATGTTTTGAACAAATGTATGACGATGTTTTGAACAAATGTATCACGATGATTTGAACAAATGTATGATGATGTTTTGAACAAATGTATGACGATGTTTTGAACAAATGTATGACGATGTTTTGAACAAATGTATGACGGTGTTTTGAACAAATGTATGACAGTGTTTTGAACAAATGTATGACGGTGTTTTGAACAACTGTATGACGGTGTTTTGAACAAATGTATGACGGTGTTTTGAACAAATGTATGACGGTGTTTTGAACAAATGTATGACAGTGTTTTGAAGAAATGTATGACGATGTTTTGAACAAATGTATCACGATGTTTTGAACAAATGTATGACGATGTTTTGAACAAATGTATGACGATGTTTTGAACAAATGTATGACGGTGTTTTGAACAAATGTATGACGGTGTTTTGAACAAATGTATGACGGTGTTTTGAACAAATGTATGACAGTGTTTTGAACAAATGTATGACGATGTTTTGAACAAATGTATCACGATGTTTTGAACAAATGTATGACGATGTTTTGAACAAGTGTATCACGATGTTTTGAACAAGTGTGTAGACGGGGCTTTAGGGTAGGTATTTCAGCATTCAGTGCATGTATCACATTTCAGTAATTGATATTATGTTTTAATTATTTATCTGCCTGCTTGACTGATTATATTAAGTGCTATGTTGTTAAGAATAAAAATGATTACGATCTGCAATCTCATTGTAAAATATACATTAAAAATACCTAGAAAGTATAGAAATTTATCTGATTAAAATACAGATATTGTGTTTCTTATTTCATTGTTTCATTTTTTTTCTGTGGGCTGTGTCACCTATTCTACTTGTCTGACTCCATGAATTCGTATTAAGTTGCATTTCCATTTCCGAAAATATCCAACATAAAATTATCATATCATTTACAGTACAGTAGAAACTGTATTAAGAGACGACTCAAGGGAATAATCCAAAACGCTCTCTTAATCGAAGGCGGTATCTTAGAAAAGAGATTTGCGTCAGAATAAACACCACAATTATTTCTATAGAGTAATAATGTTATGCAACACATTGTTGGAAATGATCTTACATCAATAATCAATTAACAAGAATTTCTCAAAAGTGACGATGAAGCCCTTATGTTATTCTTTAATCACTAGCTATTAGTAAGGAATCGTATACTTCTTGAGTGGAACTTCTAATAACGTGTTAACTTTAATATAAATGGGCCTTCACCTCATGTTTCCAAGAAACGCCATTGGCTTCGACCAGATGATATGCTTCTAGTCGTCAGTCGACCTAGGTTGTATAAGGTTTTATGAGACACTCTCTTATAGAGACACTGGCCTAGGTCACAAGTAGGGACTGAAGATTTCAGCATTGGAATACATCAATTTGATAGGAAATTACCTACTTCTGGAGAGATTAGGTTGTGTTCAACAAACGAAGGGGAATAACTAAAAAAATAATCGTTGTTTCAGACCACTTCTGAATCAGTCACAGTCCACTCGGTAGTTTGATATTCTCTAGGCTCATTCCGACCTCAGAAAACTTTCATTGTATCAATAACCTGCTAGCTAGTTGGATACAATAGTTTGGTATGCTATAGTCCCTTTCTAACCACTGACAACTGCCATTGTACCAAGCAATCTGCTAGCTAGTTAGACACGATAGTTTGCTATGTTCTAATCTCGTTTTGACTACAGAGAACTGACATTGTACCAAGCAATCTGCTAGCTAGTTAGACACGATAGTTTGGTATGTTCTAATCTCGTTTTGACCACTGACAACTGCCATTGTACCAAGCAATCTGCTAGCTATTAGACACGATAGTTTGGTATGTTCTAATCTCATTCTGACCACACAGAACTGACAGTGTACCAAGCAATCTGCTAGCTAGTTAGACACGATAGTTTGGTATGTTCTAATCTCGTTTTGACCACTGACAACTGCCATTGTACCAAGCAATCTGCTAGCTATTAGACACGATAGTTTGGTATGTTCTAATCTCATTCTGACCACACAGAACTGACAGTGTACCAAGCAATCTGCTAGCTAGTTCGACACGATAGTTTGGTATGTTCTAATCTCATTCTGACCACAGAGAACTGACAGTGTACCAAGCAATCTGCTAGCTAGTTAGACACGATAGTTTGGTATGTTCTAATCTCATTCTGACCACAGAGAACTGACAATGTACCAAGAACAATTATAAGAGTTCGGTACGTTTGGTAAATCCCTTGCCTTGGAAACAATGACAAATGAATGGGCATTATTTTAGTTTTAGAAAAAGAATTATCGATTCGTTTTTATTGTCAATTCTGACGACAGATTTAGTTTAGTCCTTTGTCTATTTTCTAATCTAAAACAAACTCGTTCATTCCAAACTTTACATGAAAATATGAAAAAATGGTGAATACATTGTAAAAAACAAAAAACTAATGGTGCGTGCACACGAACGCTCAAGTTCGACGACTTATCATGAGTATTGCCGACCTGTTTACGGGCACATCATCTCCAGTCGGTTATAGGTTGGTTGATAGATGACAAGTTAACGTTCACTTCCAGCGGATGCTGATATCGCAAACTAGGTAGTTGTTGGTAGTCGTAGTAGTTGGTAGTTGGATTGGTTCAAATTGGATGATTCTGTGTTATTGGTTTGGTTGTTGATTCTTCGTTAGATCTGGTCGGGTCGAATGACATGGCGGTGAAACTCGGCCTTGGATGGTGTGGCGTGAGTTACTCGATCTCCTTCATTCTTCCAAACTCGTTCTGATCATGGTAATTCTTGTTGATTGGTAGTCGAATGGTAGTCGTTGGTTTGGTTTGGTTAGATTATCTAATAACAGTAGGAGACAATGTCGGTAAATAGTTTTGTTTTGTAGGAACTTGGCAAATGAATCCTTCAGTAAAGAAACAACCATGACTCTGTAGAACCATTGGATTTACATCTTTATCCGTCACTTTCAATGTCATACAATCTGGTTCTTCAGGTTCTTCATTACTGTCGAGAATAATCCAGGAGGTGTTGACTGGTACCCCATTGAACCATTTCCAATCTGCAGGATCTTCCAGGTTCCTTTTAGAGCCAAGGAATGTCCATTCCTTCAGCACTTGAACAAAAAGAATTTATAAAGGTTGAAATTGGGAGAAATGTTTATTTTTTCAACCTAAAATTATCATTTTGAGGTCATACGTTGACGAGAAAGTCATTGCTTTTTAAATATCCCCTATTGTACACTTCATGGTGTTGCCGGCCTTAATTGATATTTTGAGGTCATAGGATGGCAATAAAGCCTCTGCTCAATATCCCATTGTACACTTCATAGTGTTAGTCGTACAACAACTGGAAGAAAAGTGGGACTTTAAACAGCTTATCCTGTTCACACGCCCACTTCTTCAATCTTCAATATGCGACCACAATAAAGTCCACCCCCCCGCCCCTACGGGTTTTCAATGTAATTAACGAATAAATTGTACTAAATTCACATGATTTTAAGAAAAGTTAAGCTAAATCTGTGTGCTACAATATCCTTCGACCACTGGAATCGGAAAATGAAGTAGGTTAATGCCACTTATTTAGCAGAAATTTTCCTGCATTGCATACTGAACGGTGTTGTCAATGATACGCAGACAAATTAACAAAACCCTTTTCATGTAATAAACTTTATAAATGTTGTCCTCAACTTTTAATATTTTCAAAAATAACAACTTACCCCCACTGGTAACATAATCTGTCGCCACCCTTCTGCTGTCGAGGTTGTCCACCATGAGCAACATACCTCCCTCACCTTCACATGTCTCTTGAGCTAGAGACCAAATCACTTCTGTGGGATAATACTTAGTACAAATTTTACTGGTTGGGTCTTCACTGTATCCCAGATGTAATGGACATTCATCTGTAAATAAACAAAATAGAATGAAATGAAAAACAACCTTGGGTTTCCTTACATACTGGTAACCAATAGTTACTAAGACCTAAACTTATGTATCTTCAGAATCTACTAAATAAAACTTATGGAACTTATGTCATGGTAACAATTAGAAAAAAAACTAAACTTATGGAGCATTAGATAGCAAGTTATGGAACGTACATCTTCGAAATCAATAAATTCGAACTTTAACTCTTGTCACCAAAAGTACATCTGGAGTAGGATGTTATTGTTAGTATTATATAAGATTAGAACTTATGGAACTTACAATTTTAATCGCCAACAGTCATGAATAATTCAGCTTTCAGAACTTACATTCTAGTAGCCAATAGCATATGAGATTCGAACTTATGGAACTTATGATCTAGTAGCCAATAGCATATGAGATTCGAACTTATGGAACTTACGTTCTAGTAGCCAATAGCATATGAGATTCGAACTTATGGAACTTATGATCTAGTAGCCAATAGCATATGCGATTCGAACTTATGGAACTTATGATCTAGTAGCCAATAGCATATGAGATTCGAACTTATGGAACTTATGATCTAGTAGCCAATAGCATATGAGATTCGAACTTATGGAACTTATGATCTAGTAGCCAATAGTATATGAGATTCGAACTTATGGAACTTATGATCTAGTAGCCAATAGCATATGAGATGCGAACTTATGGAACTTATGATCTAGTAGCCAATAGCATATGAGATTCGAACTTATGGAACTTATGATCTAGTAGTCAATAGCATATGAGATTCGAACTTATGGAACTTACGTTCTAGTAGCCAATAGCATATGAGATTCGAACTTATGGAACTTACGTTCTAGTAGCCAATAGTATATGAGATTCGAACTTATGGAACTTACGTTCTAGTAGCCAATAGTATATGAGATTCGAACTTATGGAACTTACGTTCTAGTAGCCAATAGTATATGAGATTCGAACTTATGGAACTTACGTTCTAGTAGCCAATAGTATATGAGATTCGAACTTATGGAACTTATGTTCTAGTAGCCAATAGTATATGAGATTCGAACTTATGGAACTTACGTTCTAGTAGCCAATAGTATATGAGATTCGAACTTATGGAACTTACGTTCTAGTAGCCAATAGTATATGAGATTCGAACTTATGGAACTTACGTTCTAGTAGTCAATAGTATATGAGATTCGAACTTATGGAACTTACGTTCTAGTAGCCAATAGTATATGATATCCGACTTGATTGTTCCTCTTAATCCAGCATAAACTCGCCCAGCATACAAATAACAGTCCATGGAACTTGTTTCAATTCCTACAGATTTACAAGTAGCACGATTTCGACAAAGTTTCAGACATTCATAAGCTGAACTGACTTTGTTTTTGATATCGATGTAAGAATCTATCAGTTTAGTGGTATACTGTATTTTCATGTAAACTGAATCCATACAGTCTTCACTGTAAACGCATGATACTTTTAGCAATATTCCTAACAAAATACAGTTTAGTTTTGAAACTTTGTACATTGTGCTGGCTTCTCAGCTCTATAAACCCAAACAAATAGTACTGTACATCTAGCGTTGCTTTATATTCCCTAGACAGGCTTTGTAATTTGTGAATTTATCCTTATAAGCACGATAAGCAAGTTTAAAATATGTACAATATTCCAATAGAAAATTAATCTTCAATATTCTTTAATGTCTTAAGCCATGAGTTATCGATTTGGGGAATATTGCTTCAAAGAAAATGAAAGTTGATAATTTGGAATATTAATATGTTTTGTTATTTTGTTAGATAATTTATGGTAAGCTGTTAGCTGTCTTGTCTTTCTTTTATCTCTTTCAGGATACAGGAACCCTAGAATGTATTAATTTTAAACTAACCTGAAAGACCAAGGTTCAATCCCGGTATAGGTGGAAATGAAATGAAATGAAATGAATGGAGTTTTACGTCCTATTTTTCTGCACCTCGTGGGCTAATGAAGACGGGCAATGCCATACTGGGTGCAATGAGGGAATTTTTGACAGGACAGTGGCATTAGCCTGCTCTTTTTCGGTGTCCAACTGTCGAGGGATCTTTAACGTGCATAGCCTGTAGTACACGGGGCCCCGGTTTATTGTTCTCATCTGAACAATAAAAATTATTTAAACTGAAATATAGTTTTGAATCCATATCTGTTAAATCATCCCCTCATACTTTCAACATAATCTGTTTGATTCTTAACTTTCCTTCGAAATAATGGAAGGGAAATTATTTTCTGTGGTTGAGGGAGTAGTCTCCCATTGAACACGTAGCGTGTCATTGCTACTTGACGAGAGTATCATTGTCGAAACGTTGCTAAAAGAGTTAGTGATATCAATATAATATTTATTGTCAAATACTTTAATGCAACACGTAGGGACAAGATTGTCAACCCCTCTCCCTCTCATCTTAATGCCTCCACCTCGAACCACCGTCAATACAAATATCACTCTATACCACTGTCCTAGTTTGATAGATTTATTTGTCACGCAGTTGACAGGCTCATTCAATATTCAATCAAATCATAAACTAATTAGACACACGCAATTATTGGCTTTATTTATCAAATGAAATAAATTCGATATCAATTCATAGAAACACAATATTCGTCCACGAATGACTCCACGTAAGCCTGGATAGCTTAGACCACCACTGGAGTCCGTGTTCTGTGTCCCCAACCGCACGACTTCCACGTCAAAAACCGTTAATACGAGGTTGTTAAGTGGTTACTCGTGCCTCACCTGGACAATCTTTAAGACAAGCTGTACTCGTGCCTCACCTGGACTATATTTAAGACAAGCTGTACTCGTGCCTCACCTGAACTATATTCAAGACACACTGCACTCGTGCCTCACCTGGACTATATTTAAGACAAGTTTTACTCGTGCCTCACCTAGACTATATTTAAGACAAGTTGTACTCGTGCCTCACCTCGACTATATTTAAGACAAGTTGTACTCGTGCCTCACCTGGACTATATTTTAGACAAGCTGTACTCGTGCCTCACCTGGACTATATTTAAGACAAGTTGTACTCGTGCCTCACCTGGACTATATTTAAGACAAGCTGTACTCGTGTCTCACCTGGACTATATTTTAGACAAGCTGTACTCGTGCCTCACCTGGACTATATTTTAGACAAGTTGTACTCGTGCCTCACCTGGACTATATTTAAGACAAGCTGTACTCGTGCCTCACCTGGACTATATTTAAGACAAGCTGTACTCGTGCCTCACCTGGGCTATATTTAAGATAAGTTGTACTCGTGCCTCACCTGGACTATATTTAAGACAAGCTGTACTCGAGCCTCACCTGGACAATCTCTAAGACAAGCTGTACTCGTGCCTCACCTGGACTATATTTAAGACAAGCTGTACTCGTGCCTCACCTGGACTATATTTAAGACAAGTTGTACTCGTGCCTCACCTGGACTATATTTAAGACAAGTTGTACTCGTGCCTCACTTGGGCTATATCTAAGACAAGCTGTACTCGTGCCTCACCTGGGCTATATTTAAGATAAGTTGTACTCGTGCCTCACCTGGACTATATTTAAGACAAGCTGTACTCGTGTCTCACCTGGACTATATTTAAGACAAGCTGTACTCGTGCCTCACCTGGACTATATTTAAGACAAGCTGTACTCGTGCCTCACCTGGACTATATTTAAGACAAGTTGTACTCGTGCCTCACCTGGACTATATTTTAGACAAGCTGTACTCGTGCCTCACCTGGACAATCTTTAAGACAAGCTGTACTCGTGCCTCACCTGGACTATATTTAAGACAAGCTGTACTCGTGCCTCACCTGGACTATATTTAAGACAAGTTGTACTCGTGCCTCACCTGGACTATATTTAAGACAAGTTGTACTCGTGCCTCACCTGGACTATATTTAAGACAAGTTGTTCTCGTGCCTCACCTGGACTATATTTAAGACAAGTTGTACTCGTGTCTCACTTGGACTATATTCAAAACAAGCTGTACTCGTGTCTCACCTGGACTATATTCAAGACAAGCTGTACTCGTGTCTTACCTGGACTATATTTAAGACAAGCTGTACTCGTGTCTCACCTGGACTATATTTTAGACAAGTTGTACTCGTGTCACACCTGGACAATATTTAAGACAAGTTGTACTCGTGCCTCACCTGGACAATCTTTAAGACAAGCTGTGCTCGTGCCTCACCTGGACTATATTTAAGACAAGTTGTACTCGTGCCTCACCTGGACTATATTTAAGACAAGTTGTATTCGTGCCTCACCTGGACTATATTTAAGACAAGTTGTACTCGTGCCTCACCAGGACTATATTTAAGACAAGTTGTACTCATGCCTCACCTGGACTATATTTAAGACAAGTTGTACTCGTGCCTCACCTGGACTATATTTGAGACAAGCTGTACTCGTGCCTCACCTGGACAATCTTTAAGACAAGCTGTACTCGTGCCTCACCTGGACTATATTTAAGACAAGTTGTACTCGTGCCTCACCTGGACTATATTTAAGACAAGTTGTACTCGTGCCTCACCTGGACAATATTTAGGACAAGCTGTACTCGTGCCTCACCTGGACTATATTTAAGACAAGCTGTACTCGTGCCTCACCTGGACTATATTTAAGACAAGTTGCACTCGTGCCTCACCTGGACTATATGTTAGATCTATACAGTATAATAATATGTAATCTGTTATAACTCTATAAACATTGAGGATTAAATACAATATTCAATACTAATTGATTACTCTCATTATTACACAGTGTTATTCATTATATAGAGCTGGAGTTAGTCCGAACTACTTTGATATCAGTCCTTATTGTGAGGTTATATTGTACACTGCATAGCATTGCCAGTCTTCGTTAGCCCAAACCGGTGCAGAAACGTATGATGTAAACATGCGGGCACACGAGCGTTTTTGGTCGAAGATTTTTGTCACCAAAAAGAGTCTCTTCAGGAGTTTCACCGAAGACATAAATCTTGAGTCGGTGTCGATAATCACGTCAATCATGTTATTGAAAGGAAAAATGAATCTGATTGGATGTTCACGCTCGGTTTGACATTATAAATCCTGTCAGCAACGCGATAATCTTGACGTGGAAGCGCAGGTACACGCGGAAAGCGCGGGCCCGCACCCTTAGTGATCGACATTACCCTTCCTTAACACAGAAAACTACCATTGTGTCGAGAACAGAATACTAACTGTTGTAAATTGCACACTGCGTAGTGTGGCCTGTCTTCATTAGCTCAATCAAGGGCAGAACAGTTAGACGTAAAACTCCATTAATTTCATTTCATTTATTGTGAGGTGTAGTTTTGTTTGGTGAATGAAATCGTAGCTTAAACACCCTTTATCGATAATTATGGGTTTTATCCCAATAGTTTCGTAAGAGGCGTTAAATCACAGACAATCAAAACTACCCATTACATCTCATGACGACACGTGTATATTGTGTTGAAACATTATGTGCCCAACCTTATTAAAGATGAGTGTTATATTCTATAATATTGTCTTGTGTTTTGTTATATGTGCTCCTTGCTTCTATATGTCGTTCAAATCTTATGGTTATAGGCCAGTATATATTCACGAGTTTCTTCTACAATGCTAACGACATGAATTTACGGTAACGACTTAATTTAATTCCCATTAATTCATTTTATTTCTAATTTCAGTTAATTCCACCAGCTTTTCACACCTTTCGTACTAGAGAGCTTAGAGAGCGAAGTAATCGGATTACATTGAGAATGTATGATCCGGTCGAACATTGGCAATCACCCGGTCTGACGCGTTCAAACAACAACAAACAAGATATGATCGATGTTGTTGTCATTGTGGATTGAAACAAGGTAGGGTAAACGTTGGTTGGTCGTACCTGTGCAACATAAGCTACAGGTCACTGCGTTCAGGTAAGTTAAAACAGTTTTCATTAAGCCAATAACGCTCTGTAGAAATTTAGGACGCAAAGCTCCCTTTATTTTGTGTGCATGGTTCTCTCTAACCAGTAGAAAAGTAGGACTTCATATTTCATTTCTTTCGTGCAATAGAAAATAAGATGTAAAACTTTTAACTTTTTCTCTATGGAATTATCTTCAAAAGTTCAATAACATCACAGAAAAGTAGGACGTAAAACTTCATTTCATTTTCTACAATATCCATTCCTAACACAGAAAACTACATTTGTGTCAGGAACAGTTCTCGGTCATCTACAGCATCCATGTTAGAATTGTAGAGCGTGTATTGTCATGTACTTTAAGTAGGTTAAAAAATAACAGGAAGACTAGATTGATGAAAATTTGTCTTTAATGATCGTTGCCCTTAGAGCCGCAACTGTTTCCATGATCAAAAATCTCGCATCCCAATCTTGCACAGCATTCCCATCTCGCCATGCTAATAGATATGACGTTTAATTTCAGAATTAGAAAGGCTATAGACTGTTAAGTTTTGACCAGAATTAATGAGCAAGGATATATAGATAAACACATCCAAGAAAAGAAAACCGAGTATGACAGAAACTAAGAAACACGTAGGAACATCCACACAACCCCGCACCTTCAAGAAGTTATCTCGACTAAAACTTGCGCCAAGAAAAGTTCAAGCTGCTACAATTCAAGATGGCGAATCCTCGATTGAAGTGAGAAGTATACTTTCAACAAGCAGAAGTAATATGACGTCATCCTCATCTGGATCCATGATTGGCGCAGTTCGAAAACGTCACAAGAGTGAGATGACGTCAGAATCTATATCATGTCGTGTTACGTCAGAGCAGCAGCTTGGTGAAACGTCAGAAAAATCTGTGACGTATGATTCTAATAATTACAAGAAAACACCGAGGTATTTCATACCTAAACTGTTCGAGATTTGGGCTCCTCAGTTGTGTCCATCTTACCGAGCCAATGTGAAGTATGTACCAACCAAACCATCATCGTTTGCTACTGTGTCATCCTTAATTTCTAGACTAAACATGCCAGTAAAATTTAAAACTGCAGAAACTGTCGTTGAGACGTGCGTTCATTTCCAAAAAAGCAAACAATTTGGTAAATGACATTCATGTATCATATATAAGAACAGAGAAGCAACACACGAAAAGAATTGGTTTTTGGAATAGTGGGTTGATTTTACCAACTTATTGTACATATCAACAAGGGACATAACTCAACATTGATAAGGGACATGACTCACCATTGATAAGGGACATAGCTCACAATTGATAAGGGACGTAACTCACCATTGATAAGGGACATGACTCACAATTGATAAGGGAAGAAACTCACCATTGATAAGGGACGTAACTCACAATTGATAAGGGACATAACGCGCCATTGATAAGGGACATAACTCACCATTGATAAGGGACATAACTCACCATTGATAAGGATATAACTCATCATAACTCAATCTCGATCGTTCCGAAGATACACCCTTATCTCACCATATTTTTAAAAAAAAATCTGAATGAGGTTTTGTGCTGATTATTGTGCATCGATAGTTTTTCTTCCAGGTGTTTTACTATTAACTATAATTCGATTTCGGAAACAGTACTTATGTTTTTCATAGACGGATGATAATGACCTAGACATCGATTGCGGATTCTGGCAATTAATGTTATCGTGTATAAGTTTGTGAAATACGCAATGATCATCAGAATTATGGATTCAAACATTTTGAAATAATAAATATCGAGTTTTCTGAATAAAGATGATATTGATTTCAACGATTGTTCACCCAACTCAGTAATTTCTGTCGGTTGATTGAAAATTTAGAAAGTAGGACATAAAACTCCATTCATTTCATTTCATTTGAAAATCTTTGAACTATAATTTTACCAATTTCTTTGTAATTGTGAACTTCTTTATTGGCCTGCATTATTCAATGGATGGTTTAGATTTAACTCGTATCCATCAAGAGGACGTGTTCATTTTACCAGAAGCATGAAGGACATGTTAATATGAAGGCTTATTTCATTGTAGTCTTGGTATCTCAAGAAATCTGCAGTTGTCTACCTTGTATGCCATAGGAACTTTTTAATATTTTCTATGAAATTTTATCTGATTATTTTGTTGCTATTTCAGAAATGAAATGGAAGGAGTTTTACGTCCTACTTTTCTGCACCATGTGGGCTAATGAAGATAGACAACGCCAGGCAGGGTGCAATGAGGGAAATTTTGCTAGGACAGCGGCATTAGCCTGCTCTTTTTCGATTTCCAATTGTCGAGGGATCTTTAACGTCCGCAGCCTGTAGCACACGGGGCCTCGGTTTATTGCATTTTCCATTAAATATTTGTAATTGTGAAATATATAAAGATAAATATAAAATGGCTGTGGGTAGAACTTCGCCGACTGAAAGATTTAATTTATTGTATTTTGTGACTGATACCGCTGGGTAAAGAAATCCGGAAGTTCCTTTCAAGAAGGACATCACAAAATCAAACTATATGAGAAGAGGGATCAAGGTGTATTTTAAGAAAGCTTCCAAGGAAACCTACCGGCTCCCGAGTACAAATTAAAAAACTTTCACAACCATATCAATTAACCGTCAATATCGATTGGACAACTTATCACAGGTATATAATGCCCCCCCTCAATTTGGGAAGCACTTTTAAAGATAAAAACTGCGCAAATATACCTACAGTGTCTCAATAGTTTTTTCTTGGGTGCAGTTTGGGGATATAAGAAGTCCACTATATATAGATACAGCTTTATGGAACAACAATCACTGGGGGAAACACGTCGAAACGTTGCATAAAACTTTAACCAGTGATTGTTGTTTCATAAAGCTGTGTCTATATATCGTACTCACAATTGCTAAATGCCATTCAAAGACTTTAAGTCCACTATAGTTTTACAGACGACTCGTCTTTTTAACTATCAAAAGCGGATAATTCTGGACTCATATGGATTTGAAGGCCCAAATTTCTATGGTGGGCTGTGAACACTATTACTGATTATCTTAACTGAAGACTAGGGTACAATAGGTCAAATCCAAGGCAATCAGAAGACAAAAAATTACTGAAAATATATTTTAATAATGATTTTATCCATTTACAATGATGCATAAATTAGGCAAAAAAAACTTTTATTTATTTCTTCAGATACATGATAACTCAAAACAAGATAAAAAAAAAAAAAGGGGGGAACTAAATTTATTCGACGGACAATTTGTTAATTAGAAAACTCAAAAATTCTAAATACTAAGTTATAATATAAATAAATGACATTTATATTAATGAAACGTTAATTATTGTCCAACAAGGGCAATAACTCTATTTTAAGTCTATTTAAATGAAAGTTAATCGGCTTCCTAATCTAGAAACCCAAAAATATAACCAAATGAAATGAAATCTTTTGAACATCGTCCATATTCTCTTCAAAAATGAAATCAAAAATCAAAAAAGAATCATTTTTTAACAAAAAAACGAAGAAAAATGAAAAACTAGAAAATCAGTCTGGTAAAGGTACTATTTTAGATCTAAATCTAAATAACTAATTTCATAATTTATCTACTCTCAATTGGTTAAATTCAAATTATCCAATCAGAATCATTTATTTGAATTTAAATTATCCAATCGGAATCCTTCATTTGTGACATTATATGAAACAAATATACGGCGCTTTTATCACAAATTAATCAATATATATATATACACTATGTTAGAGGGCTGATTAATTCCTGTTTATTGCCAGCCTTTCTTTTCTGTCGAGGTTTTGTTAGTCTAAAAAGACAGTCCCCCTATACAACCTGATGTCAGGATTGTAAACCTGAAACATCAAAAGAGACTGGATATTCCAGAAATGATTTTAAATTCGAGTTTGGTTCCATACATTGCTTTTAAATTATTGACTCAAATTCTACAAAATTTAAAAATTTCAAATAAAAATTCAATGATCAAATTTTGTGAATGATAGAATTGTTCCTTTTTTAAGTTGTTCATGATAGCTTTAAGGTTAGCCTTAACTGTTTAAAGATATGCATAGAAGATTGGAATGTAGTAAAAGATTATTATGATGAAATGTTGGTAATTCTTTGAAGATTTTTTAACTTTGCAAAAACGTCCCTAAAAAAAAATTATTATTGACTATTGTCTGATTTAAATTTTAAAGAATAAAAAAAAAACAAAAAGTATACAAGACTTCCCTTCTTAAAAATTTCTGCCTTCAAATAAATGTTAAATTTCCTTCTTGGGGAATTACTAGAAATGCTTAACTCCTAGAAAACCTTTTAAAGATACAGATTCTGTAAAAGAGTATGGAAATAGTAATTAACCTATTGGAAATGCCTCATTTGTGGCAGTTTTATTTTCAATTTTAATAAACAGATTATAAATCTAACTTATATAAAAATTTATCAAAATTCAAGAAAACATGAAATAACGAATATGAAAAAAAACATAAAAGCCCCAAAACCACAAAATGTAACGATACAAAAAATCTCACAAATCATTCATTCAATTGGAAATTTATAATCAAAGCCGTTTCCTTAGAAACAGAAAATTTCCTATTATTTGACACACTTTCATACTGGTAAAAAATACGTGCATTTGAAAAAGTGTCCTAATTTACATAAAGTATATTATAAATACATACCACTGTCATTGAACAAAAGATCGTTTCGAGCTTGGACCAGAAACTAAAATCAGTAAGCACTATGCAAATTGTTCTGCAGATATCCCAGTAAAGAGAAATTTAAGGAAAAATTTGTTTCATCCACAGAAATTTGTTGAGTCAAAGATGATATGATGTGCCAAATTGAGTGCATTCGAATTATGTTTTGTCCGTCCATAGATGAGGCATGAATATCCAAGGATGTTGCCTTCTAACAAAAGATATTTTGACCAATCTAGGAATTAATTGATCAATTGAAATATGGTGCCAACAATCAAAGAATGTTTCGTTCAGAAGACAGTAGCTTGACTTAAAGTTGAAATGGTGATAATGATAAAAAAGCACTGATTTAAGTACATTTGTTTGGCTGTATCGTAAATATTTCTATCGTGGCTTAAGACGTAGGGCCTTATTTTCAAAAACAAGTAAAGAATACTCCGTATTAAGGATATACATCAATTGGTGATCAGTTTTCATTTAATGTTGGGATTAGAGACGATGATTAGTAGCCTGTATGGAAAACTACCATCCAACTAGTCTAGTTTAAATTCTTTGATCTTATTTCAACAGTATCATCAAACACATTATCTAATGCCACATCTAATGCAACATTATCTAATGCAACATCATCTAATGCAACATCATCTAATGCCACATCTAATGCAACATTATCTAATGCCACATCATCTAATGCAACATCATCTAATGCCACATCTAATGCAACATCATCTAATGCCACATCTAATGCAACATTATCTAATGCCACATCATCTAATGTCACATCATCTAATGCAACAATATCTAATGCAACAGTATTTAATGCAACGTCATCTAATGCAACAGTATTTAATGCAACATTATCTAATATACATTATCTGATAAGACTTGACATACTTAAAAACCAATCAAACAATAGTAAAAACAGCTGTGATTGGTCCACATACTGGGCATACGGAAAATTAGCCAATCATATCAGTGGAATTAGGATATCTTACAAAATGATACCTACAAGCCTGCCATCTTTTGACGAATATAATGAATTGTATTTGAATATTTTTCAATGATTTATATACATAATGAAACTAAACATATAATTCCCTCCATTCTTTATAGTAATGTACATTATAGCAGTCTGAATATAGGTCATGGAATTCCCAATACTAATTAGGTCGGGGATTCCCAAATCTATATTTAGACTGTTGATAAAATATCTGTATCCTTTATTTTCACTGATTGTCAGTGTCTGGTAAAACAAGACTATATTCTGTTTCATCCCTTTTCATTCAAACCTTTTCATCAGAAGAATGGCTCTTGAATTCTTTCAAAGTTGAGTCTTTCCGTTTTGTCCTCGTAAAAATACTTTAAATGGTTTCTTTCTGACAATATAACTATATTTCACATGTTCTTTTACCAAACTACAGAATAGCCTCTCTGTGTAGTTCCACCATTTTTGAAAAATTTAACAAATCACTTGTTTACATGATCAAAATTTGTGTTCACCCATCACAAATAAATCCCTTTCAACAGATCTGATTGGTTAATGAAAGTTTCTCAATGATCAACCAATCAGATTTGTTGAAATTATTCAGTTAGCCAATCATTGGTGTTTCTGAAGCGCTCTGAAACACTGTTTAGTTTAAGTATTGAAACCAGCACAGCACGTGCTCCGCTATATTCCCGAGAAGTGTGATCTCTCCGCGTATTTTGAAATGGGAAAACATTCTTTTATAAAGTATCTGTTTTCTCCAAACTCCGCCATTTTACAGCACTCTGTTTGTGTCTTGTAATATTTTAATTATATCACAACTTCTCAATAGACCAATAAGAATAACATATTATAAAACCAAAACCGGTTCCGGTTTAAACCAATAGCAGATTAACTAATGAGCGACATGAAAACTGAAACCAGTTTAATTGAAACCAATTCCAGATTGGATGGATGATTTGCATCAGGTGGAGGCACAATATGTAACGTTGATTCTGATTGGTCAGGACGGAAGCTATTTTTAGACATCCACTTCATCGTCACTAGGGTGACCAGACACACGTGCACATAACAGAAAGATATCACTATACCAAGTATCTGAAAAATTCAAAATACTTCATTAATATTTGGAAAGTAATTAAGTATTGTAATCAAGCAAGCAAGTAATTCGAATGGGAAAGATATTCTCAACTTCCATTTGACAATACTTGGAGTACAAACAAAGGGGTAATCTGAAAAATGTAGTGATTCCACAAAGAAAAAACAGGCAGCAATAACCAATCACAGAAGACTTTTTAATGGGATCACCAATACCACTAGTAGTACAGCGATTCATTTGATGTATGCTGAACTTGGTGTAAAAAACCATAAAACTTGACATCAAATACCATCCTTTAATAACCAACGTTTCGTCAAAAAAGTTTTGACTTCATCAGGGGAAGAAACAAACTGCAAATGGTGGAAGGCAGTTAAGATTTAAATCATTGGCAGGGATGGAGGTGTATAAGATAGCACTTACTAAAAATAATGGAACAACTGCTGATACGATACCAATCACTATAGCATAGTCATCTAAATAATTTACTAGTTGATCATAACAACCCTGAAATATAAACAAACAGTATATTACAATCAAACAACAGACAGTATCAAATAAACTGATTATCTTAAATACATTACCAGGCTCATCCATACCCAGACTTGATAGTTCGGAGGGACAAGCAATATATCTGTTGGGGTGATTGTGTATGGTGTTTAGTTGCAGTCATTTTTAGGGGTGCAATCCGACCTCACCCCTGTAGCTACAGGCCTGTATATAAGTATGATTTTATGTTTTTAAATTTCTTGTTTCTCAATAGTAAAGCAGAATGGAAGAAAACAAGAAGAGAACAAGAGAACAGGAAAAAAAAAACAGCCAACTTACATTAGTTAATAGATGTGGGTTTTCATTTTTATATTTTGAAAATTCATTATCAACAAAGTTAGGTGGTCCCTGGAAAAACTCTTGACCTGTACAGACGGCAATATTTCTGTCTTTACAGCAACTTTCAGGAACTAATTTACCATCTGTTGGTTCTAGAAAAAGACAATAAAACAATAGGTCATCATTAATTAGATTAGCTAAAAAAAAATCTGTTTCAGAGACTAATGTACAAGTGGTCAAATAGATGATGAACCTGTCCCTTTAAAGTGACTGTAAAGAAGTTTTCTCAATTTTTTAAGTGTATTGGGAACACTGATAGCTTCAATTTGAAACAATACTAATTTTCGATCAAATGTCTGTGGTTGTTGTAATTCCACTAAAACTAAGTGTTTGATGACGCCACTAATCGTGAAAGGACTTATGTGATAAACCATATTGACGGGTGTCAGTCCACCATATTGACGGGTGTCAGTCCACCATATTGACGGGTGTCAATCGTAACTGGCCATAAAAAAAGCCCAAGACTTACTGTTCATTTCTTGAATAAACCAAACAGTGTTTAATTTGTAGAAAGCCCAGGAATCTTTTGATGTTACGTTTCCTGATACTCCACAACATTGTAACTAAAAATAGAACAGATACAATCAACACTTGCACATGTAATATTTGTATACTTAACAATTTGAACGGTTTGTCTGAGTGAGTCCAAAAGTACTGGGTTGATATTTCAATGGCCTGGAGGTGCAGAAAATCCTCACAAAACAAAGCCTAGTTTTCCTGTCTCTATACCAGCAGACAAATTTCAAAATAGCCATCAGAGACTGGAATAAAGGCAAGTGTTTTGGTGTAACAGTCCAGCAAAGACATTTTGTTACTGTAAATCCAATAAATAGCAAAATAGCACTAGGTGGTTATATCCATGACTTGTTAAAAAGTTTGCCCTTCTTAAAAAGCTTTCTGTGTGTATTTTGAACACTGATAGCATCAGTTTTCAATCAGATGTCTGAGGTTCATGTAATTTCACTAAAACTAAACATTTTATGACATCTGTTACAATGTTTCTGATAGAAAGCTGTTGGCTTAAATAATAAAATGGTTCTTACTTTTCTCTGCATAGCATCCCATGCTTCAGTGACACGTCTATTGTGGGAGTTGCCGCGGACATCTACCCCATAATTCTCTATCAAACTGAGTCTCATTCGACCTTTAATATTACTGGTTAACTGGAAACACAATATCACAATGTATTACATAGATATACTCACAAACCTTTTAATACTCTTCACCTCTCTAACAACCACAGAAATACATTCACTATAAATCAGCAGTCAGTGGATCGACTGTTACCATGTAACATCACATACCGTGAATCGGCTGTTACCATGTGACATCACATACCATGAATCGACTGTTACCATGTGACATCACATACCGTGAATCGGCTGTTACCATGTGACATCACATACCGTGAATCGACTGTTACCATGTGACATCACATACCGTGAATCGGCTGTTACCATGTGACATCACATACCGTGAATCGACTGTTACCATTTGACATCACATACTGCTAACTAGTGCTGGATATCCCCAATACGTCACAATACGATAAGTATCCCGACGCAAGGCTCACAATACGATTTTTCAAAATTGATTTTAGTGACCTACCAATCCGATAGACTTATTCATGAGAGGTTAACTTAAGATGATATTAGTGTTCCTGTCATCTGATTGGTCAATCACTACGATCGACTTAAAATCTATTTTATTATCCAATCAAATCGGTGTACTACTAAAAATCTGTTTAAGTTAAGTTTTGGAGAATAACTAAAACATTCAGCCAATGTTCTTGGTTCAGGTGATTTAGAATGAAGAACTGCCCATACTTTTTAATTATTCATGAGTTTAACGAAAGCATGGTAGAAATACGTTATAGCTATAGAACACAAGGTATTTGTACAGTTTATGCTGTTAAACTTTATCATGAAGTAAATAAAGACTACCTACCACTGCTCTGAAGAAGAAGGCTAACCCACAGGCCACACCCAATAAAATAAAAACTATTGCTAAAGTTGTTCCATACTGAAATATAGAAATTAATAGTCATTGTAAAGAAACAATGAGAAACTTCTAAAACTGAGACATGGCCAACAGTTTTATTAATTCTGTGAAAAAGTCAGAATTTTTGTTGTTAGAATGATAAACAGTATATCCTTACAAAATTCCACAATTACGACAAATTTTAATCGTATTAATTCAAGGCCATGATCTTGGGCTTCATTTATAAATCAAAACTGAACTTACAAATGAAAGGACGCATTTGTCTTCTCGTATTGTTCCACAGCACCCACAGAAAGCCAGGAGGGCCACTGCTCCACCCCCAGCAATTAGTAGATATGTTGTTACTTCATACAGTTGATTGCCAACTATAGGGGTCACCTTCCTAGCACTGAAGTCTGTCACAAGTAAAAATATTCCTACACCTAAAGCTGCACAACCAATCACCTGAAATGACATGAAATAAAGTTTTACATCCTACTTTCTGAACCTGATTTAGTTGGGCAACACCACTTATTGTGCAATGAGGGAAATTTTGTCATGTTGGCAGATCTTTTTATTTGGAACTGTTGAGGGATAACATACACAGCCTGTAGTACATAAAATAGATAAACTCACCAATATACAGACATTATAACAATGTAGAGTTCCTCTCAGACATGTTGTACAACCGTCTTCTGTCCGTCTGTTTCTTGTAGTACGGTAGTCGTCAGGCGTGTCACGTGACGAACGGAATGGCTGAAAATATATAGAGGGGAAAAATTAAGCGTTTATTATGACAGGTACAATTAAAACAAATGAAATATATTATACAGAGATAATGCAAAGAGATAAATAGGGATCTTCGATACTCATAATCTGTAGCCCAGGAGGGCGTGACTTCCCTGTGATATACAATAAACACGAACAACTATATAATAGTGGCAGGTGTCGTGCAAAGCAGACCATGCTTACTTTTTGCAAAACACATGATGTTACTCTTTGGAGTAGTCCACTACTATAGGCCCTACAACATTTACTCCTGATTTTGCCATTCTTTGGATGAGATTTTGATTAACAGAATTGTCTTGTATGTACATATATTTTTATTTTCATTCGGAGCTTAAATTTCGAATGAAAGAAAGTGAATTGATGTTTCAACATTTTAAATTAATAAAGAAATGAGTATGTAATAGCTATAAAAATTATCTAATTCACCCAGTGTTTTATTATGACATCTATTATTATATTATATTAGCCATATGTAAAGTATATTACTGTTGTGTCTATTATTAAGTTATTATATAGCTACTTGATGCAAGTAGAACAAATTGTGTACCAGTACTAATGTATTTGTCTATGATAAAATGTTTGTTTTCTAATGTAATTACACAGTAAGACACAGTCTATAGTTTTACATTATATTTTATGTTATCAGTGAATATTAGAACCCCCATTCTCAAAATATCTGAGATTAACATAGGAGCGTAAACTTTATAAATTAACCCTTTGATAACGTAAAAAGTCATGTTTTTCTTCTCTTAACGTGGACCTTCACACACAAATTAAACAACAAAATACTGTACGATGTTGGAGATGTGTAAAATTCTTACTTTGGTTGTTTTACGAGGAGCCTCCTTGGTGTTAGTAAGAATCCGACAACAAGCGGCAATATCCTTGAATATCACATCCATGGCCACCATCGGGACGACATATAATGTTCATAAATTACAGAATAGCTCATTTAGTGAGGAGTCCAAACTTCAAGATTATCAAAAAGTTCAAAATGTATCCTTTTCACTTAGCATTTCATCTGTCAGTTAAAATATACTTCCATTCTGGTTCAGAATGACTAATCTAGTAGGAGTCAAAATTACAAGCTGAGGATTAGAGTTAACAGATTGTCCCCAGGCAAAGTCTTTTTCACTTGGGTAATTTATTTGTCACTTAAAACATACTGACATTCCTGTTTCTAATTATAAATCATTATGGATCACTTCAATTCTAAGTTAATTAATCCTTTATACTAATCTATTGTCTAATTCTGGGTTCTTTCGTGGCATTTCCAGATAAAAATAACTGAAAGAAAGAATTTTAACTTTCAATTTTCCAAACTAGAAAATTATAGAACAACTAAAAACTGAACTATTATATAGAAAAGAATCACTGAATCTGTCCGTGAATGTACATCAAAAATAAACTTTCTTTCTGAGTACGATATCAAAATAACACTTTTAATATAAAACACTTGTAAATCTCTCCAGAAATAGGTAATTTTCTATCAAATTTGATACAATCCACAGTCCCTACTTGTGACCTAGGCCAGTGCTTCTATAAGAGAGTTTCTCTTATAAAATCTTACACAAAATACACCTAGTGCTATCCTAATATAATATCTCCTTGTATATATCCAAAACTTCCCAGTCCAGATCTTTAATTATAATCACAATTTAACATTTTATAAAATAAAACACAAAATACATCAAATCCAATCCAATAGAGAAGAGAATCCTTTATTAACTAAAACTTCAACATAACTGTCAAACACAGACACACGCAGTCAGATAAAATTAATATTGTCATTTTCAGACTAAAATATTGTCAAAGACAAACTAAGATTTCTGCCAACAGAAAATAGAAATGTCATATTTCAGAAACTTGAAGCCAGAGATTACACAATACGTCAAAAATCACTTAAAACATCAAAACTTTCATCAGCTGTCAACTGATAAACACTAGTTAATAAAAAAAACACGTGATAATCAAGTTTCTATTCAATAAGCACGATTATAATAGAATTTGTTAAGTTGTTTATGTAAGTCCTCATTCATGAAAAACCAATTTTTGCACGAGTAATTGTTCATATTGGCCTTGAGAGAAGGCTCGCGGCCATTTCACTACTTTCCAGATTTATCAATTCCACAGCCGGTTTTTCTGCCTTCGCCAAACTAACTCTTCCAATTTTGACACCTGAGGCCTTATTCAGAAAAACTTAACTTAAGAAGATTGTAATGTTGATTGGTTAATAACTAAAATTGATCTTGATTTTAGTTTAATCATCAGATTACTGTATATTAAAATCTGTATTGTATCTTGGTTAAGTTTTGGAAAGTAAAGCCCCCATGTTTTTTTATTTTCAAAATTACTGCAGATCTGTTGATACTATTTCTAGCTAAAACATGTACGACTATCAATCTCAAATGGTGCTGATCAAGTGAAAACTGAAAACTGATTCCTGAAGCATTAAATCTCACACCATTATCTTCCTAAGCCTGCTAATGTCCAGCTAACAAGTCCTGATCCTACATGGGATATAAAACATTCTACAGACGGTCCACACAAATTACTGGTAATCATTTCATATCTAAACACAGCTGAGAGGTCAGACTGAGAACTATGTCTAGATAATGAACCTTGATCCCATACTCGCCTAATACTGGGCACGAAGATTGTCTCCTTACAAAAACAAAGATGCGAATCTCCTCGTAAAGTCCAGCGAAATACAGAAGTAAAAGAGTCCATTAACAATTGAAATAGTTAACATTTGAAAATGGAAACAAAAACATTGTAGACATGTATAAGAGAATTAGAAAGTTTGATCCACGTCTAAAGTTGATATCCTGATGAGAATTGCGTATCCGAAGCATGTGTTCAAGCATGACACGATGCTCTTGTCAATTACTTTACACTGAAATACGCAGGAAAGGAAACAGCCAAAGTTCCCATTGCTAAAACTAGCTGTCCTGATGAGGGCTGTGTATCTGAAACACATGTCATTACATTTAAGGACAGAGCAAAAGAAACTACCTCATTGTAGACAGTGTAAAAGAGTCTTGTATCAATTAATCCATTCAATGTCTGTCAATACCCCTCTATAAACCTGTCATAATCTAGTAGATTCTCCTTACTGAAGTCCTAATACCATCGTCTTCCTGACAATTTACCCTCCAGGCTAGCACCATCTTCAGTAAATGTAACCACCATTACCGTCTCTCAGCCATTAAGTCTTGTAAAAGCACTTGAGTAAAAGAGAGAGTCCACGATTATCTTCTAGTTAATTAGATTTAGAGTTAAGATGAAAAGCTGTCTTGAAGATTTAAGCCTCTCTTACATGAAACTATTCGAAATAGAATCACCGAACTTTAGAATACTGGAAGACTCAGGTCCCTTTTACACTAAACTGAATTACAATGAATCCCTGAACTTCAGAACACTGGCTTATTGAAGTCACTTAAACACAAAACGTATTCAGATAAAAACTGTAGAACTATACAACTGTATGATACTATTAATTGTACCATTCTGAGTTCTTCTAAATCATTTGTGGTCCATGTAATCCCAGAAAAAATTTACCAAAATATCAGAATCTAATCAAGCACTGTTACTGATGCACATAAATTGACCAAATAACCCTTTCTAATCCTTGTTGAACACTGAAGGTGTTCTAAAAACCAACTATCAAATAAAATTTGTTAAAATATCCAATATGACAAAAGTCAAAATTCCAAGACAAGAAAGAAGTATCACAAAATCAAAGATAAGAAGAAATGATGCAGTAAAAATATCATTCAGTCAACCTAGAGGATGTAAAGATAGCCTACAGAATAAAATGTTGTCAATCCACTACAACCGATAACCACTAAAGATCTTTTATCTTTAAAAGGAAATCATAGAGTCCACCTCTTCACTTTTCACAAGTTCCAAACAGTCAATAATCCAATAACTCGACTTTTCCGCAAAGTTTAAGAATCGGCTAAAATCATGCAACAAAAACTACATTTCGTTAAAAAAAAATCTTGCACATTGAAAATCAAGTTAAAGATTAAAAAATAGAAAATTGCGCTAAAAGACAAAAAATAAATCTGGTTAAATGAATGATTATGGAGTTGGTGAGAACAAGAGAGAAAGAAATCAATAGAAAGTGAAAGTAGAGGATCTAAAAAATGTTAAAATGAAAGTAGAAGAGATGTAAGAGTGGAAAATGAAAGAGTAATTATTTAAAAGATAATAAATAAGACAAGGTAATGATTGTTTGATATGACAACACCATTCTCCTGATATTAACTTTAAAAAACATTCAATGATAAACAGTGTATCTTTCCAATCGATGATGATTTTGATAAAATATAGATTGATAAAAAGATGCTGCTCGATTTTCCTTTGATATAAAGTGTTTGAAGCACAATCCCTGGTAAAGTATTTAACATTTATAAGTCCTTGATAAAGCATTCTGGTTAAAAAAGTTAAAGTTTCAACACTTAGATGAGATAAAGCCTATTTGAATTGATTAAATACAAACTTTCTAACATAACGCTCTGTCAGGTCTTCTGCAGCCAAGGACCAAATCACATTTCAAGAAATAATCATTTAAGAAATCTGAATTTGATCAGCCATTGATGATCTTATCTACTGTCAAACTTTAAATTCTCTTAAAATTCTTTTCCTTTTGATGTCAGACGATCAAACCTGTCTCTGTAATAAACCAACTTGTAAGAATAACGTAAAACTTTATAATACGAAGATAGGTCGACACAAGACGGAAGAGCCAATCTACAATTTGAATTTGACGCTTCCCAGCAGCCAGTTAGAAATACCACAAATTTTCTTCAATTTCAAAACATATCTAATTGACCTCTTATGAAGACACATTGACTTCCAGTTACGAAGCACCAAACGTCTACATTTAACGAGAGTTTCTTCAATTCCAAACCACACACCCTGCTGTATCTTGGAATAAACAATAATAAACATTCCGTTGTACGCTGACTGAATTTAACAACTCAGGAGGTGGAAAGTCAACACTTAACACAGTAAGCCATTTCATAACTCTTTTATTTTACAAAAACCTACTACTGTACATTGGAATCAACTCCTAAGAAACAAACATTGACTTCAATCTATGCTGTATTAGTGAAGAACTGTCAATACAAGCATTTTCTTTAATTTCGTAATATTAGAATCAGCTTTGATGAAAACAACTCACGCTACACACGCGTTACACACACAGGCCAGACAGAATTACCAGCGTACTACAGGTGTGAGAGGAAGGTGTTTCATTAATACACTGAATTCAAGATACAAGTATTGTTATTTGAAATCTTATGACTTGCAATATAGAGTTTATTCCAATTCAAAACAGATCCTACTGCACTTTATCGTAAACACTTTCCGTAAAATGATGTCTGAAATATGCCGACTCTCGCTTCCACAGTCAGCAGTACTACATTAGGCCTACAGCAGGTGTGAGAGGATGGTGTTTCATTAATCAAGATCTCTGATAGTGGAGGTGCAGATTTCATTAACAAATTACCTTGACTTTTATTTCTTCACAAATCAGTCGTGAATAATTCTCTCCCCTGATTAACGTTAACATGTAGCTGATACTTGAGGAATTTTACACTAATTTCTACTTGATTCTTGAAGGTCAAGTGAAATTTAATTAATGCTTGTTATTTGTCTCTGATTCCAATTCTACTTTCTTAAGCAGTTTTTAAACGGTAGAAGAGATTCCGCTGATAAATACAGACATATAAGAACACAAAATTTCTTCAGAAAATTATTATGGCCATACTCTCTTTTTCTTTATTCCAAAATCTAAACGCTACCTTGATAAAAAGCTTTCAAAATTTATCAAACAGAACATGTTAGATTTCATACCACTACTTTCAATTTTGCCAGAATACTGAAAGGAAATTTGACGAGA